CCTTTTGGGGAAATAAATATAACTCATGGTCAGTAGAGACAATTATGCCTCTAAATAAATTAAGCCTGATATTTGATATCTGCACTATGGATTGTTGCTTGCTAATTGCGGATTAAGATCATGTATTTTGAGTGTTGTGTGAGATGTTTATAATAGAGATGTTGACCGTGATGGATCTTAACCATTTCAGCTAGTGGCCATAATATTCATATTTAATATATATATATATATATATATATGTCTGTTATCATAAAGGAACATATGTATTCTGATTTTTTTTGTTTTGTTGAGAAATGCATGCAACAGGATTCCCATGGTCATAAACAATTAAAATCATTTTAAAACGATGATTACCAGTGATGAGTCCCCGTCAAAAATAGTATTTCTGTTTTAGGATTCAACAGGGACGCCAACTCTCACGCATTCAGCTTGAGACTCACACAATTGCCACTGTTCTCACACTCTCATGTCACACATCCATTTTCTCACACAGTGAAAAAACAGCAAAGAGGACAGACTATAAACTGACGACTAGACAGCAGGTTACTTATGATATGGAACAAAGTCTCCAAGCTGAGCATTGAAGTTGGCAGGCCTGGGATTAAGTGTTATTTAAATTAGTTAAATATTTTTAACACCTTTTTATTTTTGTGCACACAATTATTGTTTTTGTCGAAAAATCATGAGATTAATTGCAGTCATTTTATTAAATTAGCAATTGATGTATTCAGTTAACCCTTGTTGAGCCCTTTAACAGAGAGAGTAAAAACTAAATCTGTTTTTTATGTTTATATAGATATATATCTAACATTTTCATCATAAAGTATTTTTTTTATAATAAATATTTTAATAGTAATATTTTAATTAAACAATTTTTGTAGTTTTCCCTAACATTTTAACATTGCATGTAATTACCATTGTAATCTTGAAAATAGGGGGCACAATGGGGATTTTTTTTTTTTTGTGTGTAAAAAGCTTTATGATGATTTAGTTTAATTTAATTGATGATTATATGTCTTTTTTCTTTAGGTGCAGACAGGAAGTCGAGAGGATCTGATGACTGATTTCTTCACCAGATCCACTCGACCGGTCCCTCTGCGAGAGGGCGCTAAAACTCCCACCAATTATGTCACTCCAACCATCAAGAATACTCCAGCAGAACTAGATGGTCGGGCCACTAAACCTGGACACAGTGTCAAACCAAACATTCGTCTGACAGAAACCTCCACACCTCCATCTCAGTCGCAAACCCTTCCCAACCGAGGAGCAGGACTGCGACCCTCACCTCTGCAGCAGTCCAATCCTCGCACCAGCCTGAGCCGAACGTTCAGCCTGGCCTCAGCAGACCTCCTCCGCTCCAACGGACCGGACAGCTATCGCACCGAGGCCAGTTCTCCCAGCCAAACTGACGTGGTGTTGAGGAGGTCTGGTGCAGTCGCCAGAGAAAGACCCATGTCCGCTAGGCTGGCTGGATCCTCGCCTCTTCCTGGAGACCCAGGGCACCTGTCCGTGGACCCCCGTCGCCTATCTCTTGCTCCACCGAGAGATGAGTTGTCCCTGGCTTGTCCGCCCCCAATGCACTCTTCTTCTACATCGCTGCAGGCTGAACGGGAATGCGTTGGGAGTGCTAGTAGCCGAGCTGGAGCGGTCCGTCCTGGACCTGCTCAAACCCGAGCACTGCCCCACCGTGGTGAGGTGGCCATGGTGACTCCGGTGCGAGCTGTGTCAGCGTTGAGGCTGAAGGATTTGGAAGAGGAACCCCAGGAACAAAGGCAGGCAGAGTCGCCTCTACTGAAGAAAACAGACACTGCGGACTTGAGCTGCACCGCCAAGGAGGACCCCACCAGCAAACCTGCTTCTCCTGACCCCAACAATGACCCTCAGACTGTGTGGTATGAGTATGGCTGTGTGTAGAACCTCGGACTTGGTGAAGAAACATGTCTGACGTATGAAACTGCACTGTAAACAAAGAAAAGCCTCAGGCAGCTCCAGTGAATCTGGGAAGGCTGGTCACGTCCTTCCATTCTCCATTTCTCCAGGTGCTTCAAAGGCACCAGGTGCATTTGAGGGTCTTGCACACGTTCACACTGACCTGGAAACGAATGTATGGGGCACTTGAATGTATTTTTCCCCTTCATATCAAATCGAACGCCTTTGATTTCCGCAGCTCCATGGCAGGCCAGTTCACGTTCTATTCTGAATGTGGAAACCAAACGTTGGGCTGTGTGCTCGGAGCCACTCCCAGCTTAATTACTGAGTAGCGACTGCACCCATCTTTAGGAGGCGCAGGACAGTTGCAGGTCCATCACCAAGACAGCCTCACAGGGACCCGTTACGGGAAGCGGCCTCTCTCTCACTTGCTCCCTGCTGACAGACCAAACAATCTGCTCTTTTCTGCTTCTTGTGGGTGACCATGTATTTGCTGTAGGACCTGGGTTTGGCTCAGACTCTGTTCAGAGGCAAGAGGACAACACAGACCCAGAAAGAGAGAGACAGACACACAGGAGAAGTCAATAGGACAAAGAAAGCACCTAAGGTGGAACACTGTTTAGGGAATGGGTTTTAAGTTGGAATCTAGAGTACTGGACACATTGCCCTGTTTCACGCACACATTTAGGGTTGTACTAAAGAGAATCTGAAGCTCAGTTTGGTGTTTTGTTTTTCTGACACACTCATTTTTATAACACTGCACTTCTTTTCTAATGACCAGAAGTTCTTTAATTGGTTTATTTATTAATGTCTTTGAGACAATTAAATGACACTTGTTTGTGTGGTTGTTTTTAATGTGCGTGTATGCCTAATTTTCCAAGATTTTTTGTTTTGTGTGGTTGTTGGTGTGTCTGATGATGTTGTATACTGGAAGAATGGACTAGTCTGATTGTAATTTTTTTCTTAAGTGAAGCATGTCGGTGAAAAAGCCCACGGATTCCCGGGATCCCTCAATCATGTCACCAATCTAGTGTTCTTTGTTCCCTGTCAGTGGTGCTTTTCTGCCATCTCATTTCACCATCTCCAACTTCTCATGGTCTGCTGTGGCAAGAGCTGGTCACCGAAGGAGATGGTGGATCTTCGTAGAAATATATTTGGAGCAAGCATTCACACTGGATGTGTAAATATAAGGAGAGTCTCCTGTTTGAGTGTGCAAAACTACTGGTTAAATGATTTTAGATATACAACTGTTTTATACACTACTGCACATGAACATAGATCATTAACTGTAAGATATGGTGTGAGTAGATACCCTAACAACCTTACTTAATGTAAAATTTATTGTGAATGATAGAAGCCTGTTTAGAGAAAGCTGTTGTCCAAAACCTAAACTCTTTGTAATAAAGCTTTTTAAAAAAAACAATCTCTGAAGTTTCAGTAAATTATACCATATATGTGCTGTTTTAGTTTCTAGGATGTTTAAATCAGTTTATTACTAAATCAGTTTATCAACAGATTAGCATGACATAAGATGTCACTTGATCTGTCGAATTCAGGATAAATTGTTGGTTTGTAGTTATTGATAAGCTTCTATTTCCCCTAAATTAGACAAAATATTGGTTTGATCTTTTTCAATAACTTCAATATAAGAGTTAAAAGTTGATGAATACAGTTAAACTTGTTTTTAACCAAAAAAAAGTCATAAAAAGTGTCCAAACTTCGTTGGCAATTATAAGGGATGGTAAATAAATTTTTTTGGCAACTGAGGAAATCATGCATTCACAGGATTGCACGCAAAATGTGGGACACAGCAATTTTTTCAGTAAAAATTAGTTTGTAATTAAAACATTTTTACTGCAATGTAGATTACGAAATCAGAATATTGACGTTTTAATTGCCGTTTAAAACTAGCTGTTTTTCATGCTAGTTAAATATATATATATTTTTTAAACATTTTTCATGCTAGTATAATATTGTTAAAAAAAAGTTAACAAAAATTGTTGAAATTCACTTCCGGAGTACATTTCATAGGGACACAAAGTTTCATTTCAAAATGAGGAGGATTTCCATCTTTTATCCATGTAATAACCTCCAAATGCTATACATAAATATAGAAGGGATTTCTGCATCTATGGTTTAAAAATATTAAATATGTCCCCAACTATTGGGTTCCCCATCTCAGCCATTTCCAGTACTGGCTATATAGGACACCAAAGTGTGCGTATTCGAGCAATGAACCAACGCATTTAAGATCTTTTCCTTTGCCATTGTGAACAATACCATAGAGGGAACCTTAGATTTCACTTAATACATGTGTAAATTTCAAAACAACTGACGGAACAAGCTGTGTTGACATTAGATTTGATGAAATCTGAAAATCAGAATATTCAGAAATCAGAATATGGATGAAAATGAACTCCACAACATAAATAATGGGACTAAAACATTTGCAACAACAAATAGGCTAACACAAATTTAATAAGAGGAATTTTTTAAATGGTAACCATATTGTAAAACTTTTTTACTGTCTGTTTTCTCTAAACACTTTAAAACAACTTAAATTGTTTCCATATTTTAAAGCTTTATGTTCTGCATCTACATTTTGCTTCTCTCATCCTTTCTTCACTCCACAGATTGAACTTAATGCGTTGTCTTATGTTCTGCTCTTTTCCTTTCTTCAATCTCTGACTTGAATTTCCTAATAGCACACTTATTTCTGTTTTCTAAAAAAAAGTAGATTACTAAATAGCCAGTGAATGTCAATTTATTTAATGAATTTGAGTATAATTACTGAAACTGAAAGGTCGCCCACTTTACCTGAATCCCATGGTTCACTTTATTTAATATTTAAACACCTTACAAGAAAACTATTTAATCATTTAAAGAAATAGTGTCTCTTTAATAAAAGACAATTGTCATGCACTTAAACTGTAAACCCATTGAGCACAGTAGCTATAATCAAACTTACATGGCCAACTTTTCCGGCATTCACCCTATCTGCGTTTTATATCAGTTCTGTCCACCAGCTACTCGGAACGCATCTCTGTATCTAAACACGCATTCTGTGTAGGCAGGGTCACGATAGGAGACACGTCCTGTTTCTGGGGAAGACCCTTAGTGTTGACTGAGTAATTGCGCGCATCATCGCGTAAAACGGTTGACGCAATTTGTGTATTTCTCCTTTCCAGATGCGATAACCCCGGAACACGCGTGTGATCTTATCTCTGCAAAAATGTTCAATAAAAACAGGCTCCTCTATCACAGAGTCTGAGGAGCTGTGGAACGGGAGGATATGATTTTCATCACACTTCACAAATGGCTCGAGTGAGTGGCGTGGGATTAAAAGCGGCAATCTGAAGGTAATAATAGCTACACTTTGATTATTTGACACTCACTCACACTTAGGAATAATACTATGTAGCCTACTATGGTAAGTGTTGTAGTAGGCTAAAACTGAGCACTTTGGTAGGCTACCATAAAGTAAAAAAGGAAAAGGCGAATTTTTTTTTTTTTTTTACTTTCTAATTAGACTCCACAAAAAATATATTATATAAAAGATAAAGTTATAGGCTAACAATAAGAATCACTGTGGTATTTCTGCTTGAGAATATCATGCGACTTATCGTGTAGCCTAATCTAATCAAATAAATGCTGCTGCTTTATATTTCACAGCTTTCCACAAGATGTTTTTTTTTTTTTTTTTTATGTTTTTTTACAATAATTGAAAATGATATATAATTTAGCCTATCAGCCTGGTCGTTTCTCAAGTAGGCTACGTTGCGACAATCTTGGCATCTCTGACCAACAGGTCTGTGAAATTATTCAAACACATTTTGCGTACATTGTGCTACGAATGCGAAATTAACATTGTTTAAGTTTAACCCGTGTAAGGGTTCAAGTCAAAAACAATTATCACAAATGCAAAACTAGTCAAATATATAAAATTAGGCTACATTAGGCTACTATCATGCAATTGTGAGAAGAATGGTAAGATAATTGTGAATAAATGCCTTTTTTATGTTTGTTTTTTTATTTTGTTTAAGCAGTAGGCTACTTTGAAATGTGCAATTTTATAATGTGAATAAGCAGTTACACTCCAAGTGGTGCACCGAGACGGCGCAAACAGAGCAATAGCTTACGACATTAATAATAAACTCGATTATTACATGTACCACCAAATATATTGCAGTTGTTTCTTATGACGTTTTATATATCAGACCTTGGACACTAATGCTTCCGGTGGGATTATGGCTTTAGGTTAAACATTCCCTGTCCAAAGTAAGCGTGTCAGCATAGAGATGTTCAAGCACACGGTTCCCCGAGTCTGAGCAGGAATAGGGTTATTGAGTTTGTTAGACAGTCTATCCCTAATATTTAACCTTAATTAGGCTAAACGTTCTCAGTTGTGTTTTGGTTTCATAATTAAATGGCAGAAAATGTACATCCTCTTAAAAACATACTGGATGACTGCTGATTTTAGTTTGGAGGGCACAATTTGTTTTTGTTTTTAATTGTAATTTAAAATAATTACTAGCTTTTTGAATCAAAAATCCAATTGCACAAATATGGTTTTGCAACTTCTTCATGTGACAGCTAGTCCTGGAGTCTCCTGTATGGATTTATTAATAAAATATGGTTACACTTTATTTTGATGGTCCCCTTTAGACATTCCGTTGACAAACGTTGCACCCACATGTCAACTAACTCTCATTAGAGTATTAGTAGAGTGTTAGTAGACTGTTAGGGTTAGTAAGTTGACATTGCAAAGTTACTCATATTCAGTCTAATTTCTGTTTTGGGACCAGACATCATAATAAAGCAGATATTTAGCAGGCAATCTACTAATACTCTAACGAGAGTTAGTTGACATGTAGGTTCAATGTTATTTATAGTCAAAATAATGTCTAAAGGGGACCATCAAAATAAAGTGTTACCTAAAATGGGTAATTGACTTTGAATTCTAATTGGATGTCATGTTTGAAACCACTGGAGATAGATGCACATCTGTGACCACACTTTAATTGAATTCTGTTTCTATGTTGCACAGCAACCTCCATTATACTACAGCTTGGCTGAAAAAGTCTGCTCTAAGTAGTAATGATTCATGCATTTATTGGACTACTGAACCACGGTGTTGTGCCTAAGAACACACCCATTGTAACATGTTGCTTCTCTTGAACTGCTATTTTATACTGAAAAATGAAATGCTTGTTGCTGTTATTATCATATATATGACTTCATTGAAATTTAATAGAGGAATGTAATGGTGCATTCACTGGGCAAGGCCTACTTGTCAAATGTCAAATCTCTAAGTCCCTTAGGTTGATGTTGAAGCTGGCTCAATATATCAAATACAAAATCCGAAGTAACCTCCAAGAACAGAAAAATAATTCTGCTAAAAAAAAAAAAGCCTCCAAGAACAGAAAAACAATTCTGCTAAAAAAAAAAGCTTTCCCATATTGAGATGGTTCTGGGTAATAATGTTGTACTCGCACAGATGTCGTGCATCACTGTCTGAGCAGTATTACTGAGGGTGTTGTGTATGACTCAGATGCAGGGAAACATTCTTAAGCATTTAATGGATTGGTGATGAAACGTGTTGTTCATGCTGGTTCATTTGTCTGTTATATGTTGTGTTCCACAGTAGTCACAGCCAAGGCCTCACTCATCAGATATCCTTTCATCAGCTCGAGATTCCGTGTAACAGGTCACGGTCAGTTTGAAAAGGGCAATGTATCTTACTCAAATCCATAATGTGAATTGGGATTGAATACATCAGATCATTTCACGCTGATCAATGAAGAAAATACCTATGCTGACGTCGAAGCCAAGTGCAAAAGACATTGTACAGTTGAATTCTTTCTGAATTCAATAGTTTAGTTTCAAGAGCACTTTTCACACTTCCTTCTAGTTAATATCTCTTTCTGTATGTTTAGAATAGTTTAGAGTCTGAAGGACGCAGCCCACACACAAATCCACACACAAACCATTTGTCACTCGGCAGCCATCTTGATAACATCCTCAGGCTCCTATTTTCTAAGCACGCAGAAGAACAACTTCTGTCAGCTTAAATTGAGAGAAACCCAAATCATCTTGACAAGTATGTCAAGTACTGCAAGCAATCAAATCTTACAACAATGGTCATAAAATGTGATTCTTCCTGGTTAAAACCAGACCATTCTCAGTTGTAACTGAGTTATGGTCTGGCAAAGCGTCATAGACAAATCATTTCCAGAGGGGCGTCACCAACGGACGTCGTGGATAGACCTAAAACCAATCAGAGCGATGAAGGAGATGACGTATGTAGAGCGGCGGAGAAACTTCTCCGAGTGTTGTTCTTTGCTCGGTTTTTAACTAAAAGGAAACGTTCAAATCGCTTAAAACAGACGCGATAGCTGATTCGAACGAGTGATGTTCGACGGCGGCATCCATCTTTGTAATGTAGGCTACAAAATCTGCTTCAAAATCCCAGCGCTGTCCTCATTGTGTAAAGCCAGCCCCAACGTTTCTGATTGGTGCCGCGATTTCGACGGATTGGAAATGGGCTTGAATGAGCTCTTTGCCAGACTAACTTTCAGAGCAAATCTAAATTTGCCGGAAGTTGTCTGGGTTTTCCCAGGCTACTTCTTTAGCTGAAATTGACAAACAAACAGTAATAATATGTTGTAGTTTTATGGTAACTTTCATATAGAGAGAGCTGAAGGAAAATGTAATTTTCTAGACCAACCCGGAATTGGCATCACCCTGGTTCTCTCGATTACTTTCTTTAAAATTTACTAGTTTGAGTTAGAATAGTTTGCAAGAGCGTAAGTATAAACTCAACGAGACTGTGAATGCGCAGAGTTTTTATATTTGGCGTGACTAACTTAACTTAGTTTTAAGGCTCCTGCAGGACTCTATAGTTGTCATTTGAAGCGTTGTGATTTTTCCCATTCATTTTTTGGGGGGGTGTCTCCTCATCCTATACTTGGACTAGGGATCACCAACTACATCACGATACAATACACATTGCCATACTTGAGCCACGATTCTGCATCACACTATCATAAATGGATTATAACGGAAACACAAATGTATGTGAAAGACCCACAGTGCATTTAAAATCTAGCACTGTCAGAGTATGTACTGCATTTGTTTAACATCTCAACCTTCTAGTTGCAGTACAAACAAAAAACGTAGTTGTAAACTAGTTGTGTACTCAAAGTTTAGTACTACTGTTACACTTAAAAGTATACTTTTATACACTAAAAAGTGGGCCAATTTAGTCCCAAGTAGTATTGAAATAGTACACTCACAGTACAAGTATACTACTAATACATTGATATTGGTAAACAAAGTTTATCAACAAAGTAAATATACTTGAACTTTACTTAGGTATACTTAATAAAGGGAACTCGAAGTATACTTTGCAAGGGAATACAAACCAGACATACTAAATCTGCTTTGTAATGTAACAACTTAAGCTATGTCACAGTTTTCTGCCGTTTACGAACATTACGACTCCTTTCCCTTGGTGTCCGATACGTACATCAAAATCTCTGAAAGCTGTAGTCCAGGTTTTATGAATCCTGTGGTGGTATTTGGACATACTAATCATTTGACAATATTTTGTTTGCTTCCTTTAGAATTGATGGAATGTTATTCGGAGACCTCTGTTGGTTACGAACGTCCTACACTCATTGAGAAACATGAGGTTGGAAAGATGAACATGTCTGAGGAGCAAATCAACTGCACTATAAGCCACGAGATTCACCAGTACCTGTTTTCAGGTGCGTACATCCTAGTCCTGCTAGTGGGTCTTCCCGCCAATGCTTACTCGCTCTACCATGCCTGGCTGCAACTAAAAGCCCGCAATGAGCTGGGGGTCTACTTGTTGAACCTGACCATATCGGATCTGCTGTACCTGGCCTCCTTGCCCCTCTGGCTCCAGTATATTTTCCAGGGGGACGACTGGAGCGGCTCGGAGTGGCTCTGTCAGCTGTGTGGTTTCCTGCTCTACGAGAACATCTATGTCAGCATTGGTTTTCTGTGTTGTATCTCCATTGACCGCTACCTTGCAGTGGTCTACCCCTTCCGCTTCTCCGCTTTCAGGACGGTACGAGCAGCAGCACTGGTCAGTACGGTGGTCTGGCTCAAAGAGCTTGCCGTAGGAGTGGTGTTTTTCCGGCATAAGGAGCTCAGCAAGGACAAGCATAACCAATCTGTGTGCTTTGAGCACTATCCCATGAAGACATGGGAGTACCCCATAAACTACTACCGTTTTTACATAGGCTTCCTGTTCCCTTTAGGAATCCTCTCAGTGTCGTACTTTCGAGTCCTCCGAGCAGTGGGCAAGAGTGCAGGCACGCAGACCGCCCAGAAAACGCGCATCAAGTACCTGGTGACCAGCACCATTGTCATCTTCCTGGTGTGCTTCTCGCCGTACCACGTCTTCCTGCTGGTGCGCACTGTATTTGAGCGGGACTGCGCTTTCATTGAGAACATTTTCAATTACTACCATTTCTCTCTGTTGCTTACTAGCTTTAACTGCGTGGCGGACCCAGCGCTCTACTGTTTTATCAGTGAAAATGCACAAAAGGGCATCCAGAAGGCTCAGGATGCTTGTACTCGGGTCTTCTGCTGCTGCTCAAAAAGTCATGGAAGGTTCAGCACGCACTCCACTGAGCTGGCAGTCACCAATGATAATGTAACAGGCACGTCAGTGGTGACACTCTTGCAGCAGATCAAAACTGAAGTTTGAACTTTTTTTTATCTAAACAATACAATAGACATCATACAGTTTAGCTACAGGCTCTTCGGTGGACAAACATATGGAAGCAAGCATCCTAGATGTGTAGTCACATAAAGTCAACATACAGTTGTTTTACATTGGTTAAAACATTAGTCTTTGCTGTTTTAGAGTCATATTGCAATATTTCATGGTTTTGGTAAGCTAACATTCTACTGTTATGTGGTGTAATTCTCAGGGATTGCTACCTGTGGTTGACATTTGAGGTTTCAATATCCAATGATCTAAAAATGTACTATTTTAATGTACTGTTCCAAGTCCCTTTAGCTACATTTGCATGTAGCGGTTAAACATGGTGTCCAAGATTAAAGTCATTTCTGCTTTCATACCTCATAGGTTTCAGTTCCTGGGCCTCATTTATAAAATGTTACATAGAATCCGTCCTACATTTGATCTTACAATCATTTCTCAAATATGCGTACATGTGATTCAATGAATGAACGTACGCACAAAAAACGTCTGTACATCTCTCTTTCAGATGTGAGATCTATGAATCGCAAATGATCTTGAAATTGTGCGCAACTGAATGGTTTCAGATCTCAGCCCTGTAATTTCATTAAAGGGGTCATATAATGGTACATGCACTTTTTCAAGTTGATTGTACTGAAATGTGTGTTGGCAGTGCCTGTACACAACCATCATATAATGATAAAAATCCATCCAGTGTTTTTGTTTTAATCTCCTTATATGTTTTCCCCTGCCTCAAATCGAGCCGTTCGACCGTGTGACGTCACACGGTCGGACGCCCCTCCCGCGATTGTTGATTGATAGGCGCGTTTCAACACAGACCCGCCCTCGCTCGTGAGAGCTGTCAATCATAGTCCACGCGGACCGGCGCGGTCATTGTTGATATGCTGGAGCACTGTCTATGAGCAGAATGGCGTCTAAGCGATTGTGGTGTTCTGTTCTTGGGTGTAATAACGAACACAGTCATTTTTATGTTCCTAAATCCGAACCGCTGAAGACGCAGTGGTTGAGTTTGTTTTCGAAGGGAATATTCCACACGAGCAACGTCAATGCTTTCATGTTTGCGCGAATCATTTCTCAGCAGACTGCTTTATAAACGAGGATCAGTATAAAGCTGGATTTGCTAAGCAGCTGCTCCTGAATAAAGAATCAGTAGCAGATATTCGTGTTCCTGCTGAACTTCTAGAACAACTGAAGTGAGTGTAACGTTTTATTAAACATATTAATATTTATATCTTTGCAAATCGCTTCACGATGAATGAGTCTAAGGTTTACACTCAGGGTACATTACTGCATGTTTTCTATGTACGACGTTCTCCATATAATTCATAATCCCACGTTTATAATGAACAACACGTTATGGTATTGTGTTACAAACGTGTACGCACAGAACAGAGGGGCGGGGTGAGCAAAGCTCATGATCATTTAAAGTCATATGCACTGAAACGGCGTGCTGAAAACAGAGCTGTTTTTGACCAGGTAAAATAAGTGTTTTCTTACAATACTAATGAGAATTTTTAATTAAAGTATATTACAAACTTTTAATTTAGACCCTAAAGAATCATATTAGCTTGTACAAAAATGGCATTATATGACCCCTTTAACATAAAAGATTAGTCAACGTCCAAATGCTTTACTTGAGAAAGGCGAGCAGCAAGAATTGCTTAAAATTCCAAATACCTGCAGTTCTCCGACTCTCTGCCACAAGGAAAAGTGCGTACGTCTGCTTAGACCCTGACGTTTTCTACATCATAGACTTTTTTTTATAAATATGAACGTTGGCGTGAATTTTCACGTTCGCACATTCTAAGATCAAATCTGTGCTTACACACATTTTATTAATGAGGCTCCCAGTGATAGTTAGACTGCTAGCATGACAGGAAAAGGCTTTAAACATCTTCAATATAAGTTTCATGGACTAATGTGGCAATACTTTTAGAGATTTATTGGAGCTTAAAAGGCTAACCACTTAACTGTCACTGCATGCTTTCATTTTATGGAAAAGAACGGCATGAAATTCTGTCTTCCACAATAGAAACATACAGGTTTAGAACATCATGAGAGTGAGTAAATGATGACAGATTTTTCATTTTGGCTTCTTTGTCACCTGCTCATCTTTTTTTTCATAGTAAGGCATGGAGCACACAGACAGTTAACAAGCACAAGAAGGTTCACGGGTGTGAAGGATCAGCCACCCCCAAACAGACCATTTCAATCTGGACATGCTTCCCACTGTGATATCACATCCTGGGGAAATAGTTGAGGAAGACGTGATGGTTGCTTCCAGAAATCATATCTTTTGTTTGCTCAAACGACTGACTTATAAAAAGGTGATGAGTGTTTGGTGCAGTGTTTACATTTTTAAGATGGAAGTGACCACAGCTAATACCAGTTTGAGTGAGTGACCTGAACTGAAACAACAGACGTGGAAGTGTTCTCTGATTCCTGCTCATTCAAACTATGTTTACAATGCATACTCAACATGCATGCAGTTTGTACGCAACCAAACAAGGGTATTTCATGATTTCACATAGTGACTGCTGTTCAGTTTTATTTGAGATTTTTATTATTGTTTTTTATACTCTGTTTATTGTTTGTGATGCTCAAATCACTGGCAATGATTGTATTGTTACACAGTACATGGAGACAGAAATTATGCTGTACTGCAGGGGTCTAAAAAGTACAGAGATATATTTAATTATGGGTACTCTTATAAAAATCTTTGCCTTTTTTGCAATGTTTAGAATGTTCTCCTTACGGTGTCTGATCAATGAATTTTGTTTTTGTTTGGCATGTTAGCCTCAGTAAAATGTATAAAATGTGGACTTTTTATGTGTACGCATCTAATTTCTCCTCAATGGTTAAGTAGCAAAAACAAGACTAAATAAAGGAATAAATGATGATGAACCATTAATCAAACAGGAGACAGAAATGAACGCTCCATTAAAAATGGCTCTTCTTTGGTTCAGAGAAACACTTTCGTCAGATACTTGTCCAGTTTGTTATATTTCGTCAGATACTTGTCCAGATACTTGTCCAGTTATGGCCCTTTTTTCGTTTGTCTTTGTTTGGTTTTGATTATTTTACTTGTTGGAAGCAGAATTGTGACATTAAACAAAGCTGTATTTAAGCTTCTGTTTATCCACCTGTGATTAATTAGTATAAGGTCATATTCCCACCAAAAATGCATCCAGCACCATCTTTAAAGAAAATGATGCATTGGCCTATTTATTTTATTTTTAGAGCCAGACTAATGAAAAGTCTGCCATTTATTTTACTTTATAATTAAGGGTTTTGGGATGATCTTCTCCAGTGTTGATTTTGGTTGAACCTTGGAAGAGGGAAAGACACTTATCTCTAAAAAGGTCTGTGATAATATACAAATTTCCAAATAACCTGAAGGTGTTATGTAACACGGATCTGAACTAAAACAGCTGCCTGTACTCTACGATTCATGAGAAAAGTTGTGTAACACTATGGTATTTATTATTATTATAATTTTTTTAAGTTCCTTGGACTACAACTTGAATACTATTGTATAATAATTTATTATTTATTAGGTCCCATGGTATATGCATCAAATACCACCCATAAATGTAATCAAATATGCCTATTAATTCGATTTAATAGCCTAATTAAAGCTGCGCTATGTCACTTTGACCTCTCTATCGCCATCTGTGTTTGAAAATAAAATCGCATTTAGATTAATCAAATGGTTTGAGAAATCTGTAATTACTACCTGTTATTGCTATTTGGGAGCGGATCTGTCACGCTACAAACAATACTGATAGAATGCTCAACGAAGTATATATAAGATATAATGTAATTTGAGCAAGTATTAGATGAAGTATCATATGCCGCTGTGGTTTCTTATTTTGTTTTGTCAGGGGTGTCACTTTACCTTCTTGACTGTCTGCATTTCGAAGTTTCTTTGTTTTGACAATGGGTGATTCTCCAGAGAGTTGCCATTTAAAGCTAGCTTGCTGGGGATTTCTAATGCTACACAACAACATTATTTTTTGTAATTAATAAGTCACGAGATTCAGTATAGCCGGACCTTTTTTCCTGTATTTACAGACATGGTGTATATGGGCCATTCTACAGAATTGGTGCAAACTGCTGTCCCACAAAAAAAAAAAAAAAAAAACATTTAGAAAGCATTTAAGTATTCAAATTTGAAGTGTTTACAAAGATCCTTGTATTATCTATTGAATCCCACAATAATATTAAAAATATCAGTAAGCTTAATATATATCAAATCATAACTTATTGGATACTTTCAATTGGGGGGTGGCTGTCCCGAACTCTAATGTCAACTTGTGAAAACTATATTGAAATGTTTTTTTGAAAAAAATTCCATTGTTCTTTTTAAAAATATCTTTTTGATTTCTTTTAAAAAGTGAAGTAAAAAATATATATATACTCACCTAAAGGATTATTAGGAACACCAGCTCAATTTCTCATTAATGCAATTATCTAATCAACCAATCATGGCAGTTGCTTCAATGCATTTAGGGGTGTGGTCCTGGTCAAGACAATCTCCTGAACTCCAAACTGAATGTCAGAATGGGAAAGAAAGGTGATTTAAGCAATTTTGAGCGTGGCATGGTTGTTGGTGCCAGACGGGCTGGTCTGAGTATTTCACAATCTGCTCAGTTACTGGGATTTTCACGCACAACCATTTCTAGGGTTTACAAAGAATGGTGTGAAAAGGGAAAAACATCCAGTATGCGGCAGTCCTGTGGGCGAAAATGCCTTGTTGATGCTAGAGGTCAGAGGAGAATGGGCCGACTGATTCAAGCTGATAGAAGAGCAACTTTGACTGAAATAACCACTCGTTACAACCGAGGTATGCAGCAAAGCATTTGTGAAGCCACAACACGCACAACCTTGAGGCGGATGGGCTACAACAGCAGAAGACCCCACCAGGTACCACTCATCTCCACTACAAATAGGAAAAAGAGGCTACAATTTGCAAGAGCTCACCAAAACTGGACAGTTGAAGACTGGAAAAATGTTGCCTGGTCTGATGAGTCTCGATTTCTGTTGAGACATTCAGATGGTAGAGTCAGAATTTGGCGTAAACAGAATGAGAACATGAATCCATCATGCCTTGTTACCACTGTGCAGGCTGGTGGTGGTGGTGTAATGGTGTGGGGGATGTTTTCTTGGCACACTTTAGGCCCCTTAGTGCCAATTGGGCATCGTTTAAATGCCACGGCCTACCTGAGCATTGTTTCTGACCATGTCCATCCCTTTATGGCCACCATGTACCCATCCTCTGATGGCTACTTCCAGCAGGATAATGCACCATGTCACAAAGCTCGAATCATTTCAAATTGGTTTCTTGAACATGACAATGAGTTCACTGTACTAAAATGGCCCCCACAGTCACCAGATCTCAACCCAATAGAGCATCTTTGGGATGTGGTTGAACGGGAGCTTCGTGCCCTGGATGTGCATCCCACAAATCTCCATCAACTGCAAGATGCTATCCTATCAATATGGGCCAACATTTCTAAAGAATGCTTTCAGCACCGTGTTGAATCAATGCCACGTAGAATTAAGGCAGTTCTGAAGCCGAAAGGGGGTCAAACACAGTATTAGTATGGTGTTCCTAATAATCCTTTAGGTGAGTGTATATATATATATTTAAATCATGAAACTATGTGAAAAAATGTGTCCCACATTTTCAGGTCACTACCGAAACAGTGTGTGTTTTAGTCCATTGGCTGAAACTGATTTTAACCACACCCCTACATTTTTGATCAGGCAAAAATGGTCCCTCTCTCTCATTGTAGATAGGTACCATCATTTTGAGGGAAATGTGTTCACTTCAAAAGTCTGAAAATCTGTATGTTACTTTAAGGAACGTCACTACCAAATCCCTCTTTTCTGCAATCAAGCAAACTTTTTTGGGGGTTATTCCATAAAATTTAGTTTGTATGTGTGTACAACCGTCCTGGGGTGCGTTTCCCAAAGCCAACTATGGTCGCAAGTTCCGTCGTTACCAATAGAGTTCAATGGAAATTGCGATCATAGCTGGATAACGATGCTTTCGGGAAACGCACTCCAGAACTGTGCTAGGTAACCATGTGCTGGTTATCATTTTTGAACTATAGGCTCAAAAGTATCTTAAATTGTCACTACCAAAACATGTGAAATTTTGGTTGTGACATCATGGTTTTTTGAGTGTTATTCGATAAAATTGAGTTTTTGTGCGTGTACAACTGTTCAGAACTGTGCTAGTTAACCATGTGCTGATTAGCATCTTTGAGCTAGGCTCAAAAGTATCTAAAATTGTCACTACCGAAACAGTCATGACCGAAACATGTCATCATTGATTTGGTAGTGACAAAAGGGAACATAATCATTTATTTGGGGGAAATAAACAACATTGTAGTAGTTACAGTATGCAAATCATTAGTTAGTATGTTTTAGTATGCGAGTTAAAATTCTGTAATGTGATGTGGTCGCTAAAACATTACTGTCACTACTCAATGCCTTTTACAAAGAAAGATTGGATTCAAAATACAACAAATCTTATATATTACACTTGAAATATTGTTAAAATTGTAATTGTTATTGATTTACCTAAGGTAAATGTAAACAAAATATTAATAGGTCAATATAAGCCTTCTTATTAAATTATTTATTATTGTGTTTCGGTAGTGACAAATTTGGGTAGAGGAAAAATATTCCCAAATTTTCTGAAAATACAATATGATAATTAACTGCACAATTACTAGAAATGTGTAACTTGGATATTATACAATTTGCATACATGAAAAAAATGTGTCTTTTCCCACAAATTTTGTAAGACATTTCCAACTCTGACTTTGAACCAATTTTGTAGAAAGGCCCATATCTGGTATTTTCCTGCGAAATCCGACCCCACAGCTCAACATTTTATCATAGGCTTACGATTGTGAATCGGGATAGGGCAATAATATGAATTTGAGCATCACATTTTCTCAATAATATAATTTAATTCATTTTTAAGCACAATTTCTTCCAAGGTGCAGCTTTAAAAATTTTTGTTGTCTGAATATTCAGTAGGACAAGTCCCCCAGTGTACTGTATATGGTGGTTAGAATATAAGTAATATCCAAAAAACAAAATTGTTTATTTATTCTTTTAAATCATTTATTTCCTACACCAATATATTTTCCTTACAGTGAGAAACAACAGAGATTGTTTTATAAGGTGAGAGCACAAAAATTAAACACTAAAGACAATTTTTAACGTGAAATAAAGAAACATGATGTTAGCATGGCAGCTATTTCTATTACATACACATTCTCACAGATGATTACAAAAATGTGAGTCACCTTTGGCTTTTGGCTTGCTTATTATTGATCTGGCTGCATTGACAGCATTATATGAGAACTGAACTGGACAATGACATCACTGTTTTCTCCAGAGCTGCTGTGTAGATAAACTAGTGAAATTTGTACAACAAAAATGAACCATCACTGAACTTACTTAACAGGAAAATAATGCAACAAGGTTTGTTTCTAGCAGAAAATAGCATCATAGTCCAGCTTATCACTTTAAAGCTGCTTTAAAACTATCTTTATTGTAAAAAGCACTATATAAATGAAGGTGACTTGAGTAAAACATTGGCCACGGATCTGTATCAACTCTTGTGGCTGAGATTACACATTGACATTTAGAGTGAGATGTCTAAGACGCTGTATGATGTCAGAATGGTATGGATGAAAGGTCAATCCGTCCACCTCCAGTCCCAGGTTTGCCGTTTTACCACTGCGGACGCCATATTTCACCAAAATGTGGAGCATGTCTTCCTCCTGTTTTCAAATAGAAGAACCACGTCAAGGCATGTCTTCAGTCTAGTAATGCATTCAGTGGTAATGGCCTTTTATTTTAAGCTACATGTGGGAGTGGGAATTTTAAACCAGGAAGAGTATTCTTAAAATGTCAATCTTAGCAGCCACTAAGGAGAAACAACATGATAGACACAGAAAATATTCAGGCTAACAGGAAGGAATGTGAATACAAGGTTAACGGGCTGAATCCAGCAGTTGTGGCCGTGATGATTATACAGTATACTGGCAGAGGTTCTGAAGTGGTCTGCAGTTCACCGCAAATGTAAAAATGGCCAGTGTTGACAGGAAGCTGCACTGCGACATGCCTGCAAGTTTTATACCAGTGGATTTCCATTGAAAACAGAATGGGATACAAAAGTTAACAGATGTGATATAATGAGGTGAGACATGCATAAACCCTTGCAGTGCAGACACTCATGCTGCAACAAAACTCTTGGAGGAGAACAGATGTTTTAACTCTTTCCCGCCAATGACAGAATTTTCCGTCATTTATGAAAACACTTCAACGGGAATTTCCCGTTTTCACCGTTATACGGTAGGGGTCGCAATCACAATCTTTTGATTTATTGCATGTTCAGTATAGTCGCCCTGCTGCGGGGGCTCTGCAACCGGAACCCATACAATGTACGGGGCTCGCTAAGCTAGTCGCATTCAAAGCAGTATCTAGAGCCCTTACATTCTTACTATGCTCAATAAAGGTTTGGATGCGTGTCTCTAATTCTGAAATCTTCTCTGTCAGTCTAACTATTTCCCTGCTTTTATTATATATATAAGGCTACGCTAAACATGTGGCAGGCAGTGCAAGTGACAATAACTGGAGAAGATGCCATGACTCACTGACTGATTTCACAGTTGATGTGAACCACAGTTGATTGATGGATTCGTAAAAAATGGAGCACGAGAGAGAAAAAAGACTAAGCACGAATACAAGTTAAAGCAGCACTAAGTAGGAATTCCGTTTTTGTCAAACAGCGACCCCTAGAGTCGCTGTGGAGCACTTGTACTGTCGTGAATAGCACTCACGCAGAGATGGCTCGCACTCACGGCCGGATCCCCTCCCCCTGTACACCGGTACCTGTTCAGTAGGATGGACGCTGTAACGAGTGGAAATAAGGTATGGCCCCTTTAAGAGCTGCGCGCGCCCTGTTTAACTGTCGGCAGTCTGTATTGAATGTGCGCCTCGAACACCACATGTATACGGCGCCGGGTTATTTCTGTTTGATGCTCATTTTATCAGAATTTTATCAGATCTGTTTTTTGCCGTAAAGCAATTCGTTACCTCACGAGACCTGATCTCACACGATACTTCCTAACACTGAGGCCGGCGGCCCGCCGGCCCAAAGTTGCAAGGGTGGTTTTGCGGCTCACAGGCACCAGGGGGGTGCGAGACGACCACCATTCAACACGAAATCAGTAATATAAACATTACAATGACTCCAAAGCTGTTTGGTTAAGGTAAAAAAGTTACTTAGTTCACCTTTAACAGGGTAGCGAAATGCTAACGTGTTGTGCTAGCGATAGAGATTTAGATTTAAGGGGTGGTATAATGCCCTTTTCACAAGATGTAAAATAAGTCTCTGATGCCCCCCGAGTGTGTATGTAAAGTTTTAGCTCAAAATACCCCACAGATATTTTTATATAGCAGGTTAAAATAGTCACTTTTTGAGGGTGAGCAAAAACGCACTGTTTTTTGTCTGTCCCTTTAAATGCAAATGAGCTGCTGCTCCCGACACAGAGGGCGGAGCTTCAACAGCTTGTGTCCTTAGCAGCTCTGATTACCTCTCACACACACACACACTGAACATTTCAAAAACGTTTAGCCTTATGTTCAAACCGGAGTCAGACAATGATGGAGAGACTCAAGAAGAAGTGACAACATGTAGAATGCAACAGGACATTTCTGAATGGTTAGTTGATGAATTTAGGTAGCTTATGTGTAGTTATCTTCTAGTCATTGATTAGCATATTCTGTCATGATAATCTATAAATCACGTTCCCGAGGGCGGGGTTTATGTGAATTTTAGGGTTGGTGATGTCACTAGCCCGGGACGAATGTCGTGTAGTCCATACCAGTCGTTTGTTGTAGTCCTTAAAAAGCAATTTCTTTAAAAGAAAATATATCCCTTTGTTTTGAACTTTGAGTATTGTAACTTTGCAGATGTTGTTTATAATCAAACAGCAACATTACACACTAACTAAAGTTAGAAAAGTGAAATCATAATCAACCACCCCTTTAAAACCTAGCGATGTCAGATTAATGTGATACGCAATATTAGATAATATTGATGATTAAGTTATATTTAGCAATATAAGCATCAAGGAATGATAGTAAATAGAGATTCAAAACAAAGCTATACGGAGCTACAAATGCAAACCACTCAGCAGCGAGGAAAATTGTGAAAATGATCAAAAATGTTGGTGGTGGCTGGCAAAAAAAAAAAAAAGAGGCGGGGAAAGAGTTATTGTCGGACTGAACTTAACCACCATAATCACCAGCCATCATTAGAATACAGTGTTACCTTGGCTATGGTGGGCAGGCAGGCAGACCACAGGCTTCGTTGATCAGGTGTGGGTGACAAACCCAAACCTCTCTGGAGGTACCGCCAGTGTACTGGACAGAGATTCAGAACATACAGCGCACAGGCGACAGCATAGCCACCCCAGTTGGACACTCCTACAACACATGAGGTGGACGTTAGTTATGCAAGGAAAAGATTGTTCATGGTATTCACTGTTTCTAATACATGCTTCTGCAGATTATAACATATAATATTAAAATAAAAAAACATTAAATGAAATATTTTTGCGTTTTTCAATTTAAATTTTGTGGGGAAATATTCTGGGTTAAAAACAGTAGAAGATCTGTCAACTATACTGTATACTGTATGTGAATTGCTGTAATCTCAACCTCAATTTGTAAAAAAAAAAAAAAAAAAAGTCTTGACAGTTTTTTGTTAGTCAAGATTATGGCGCAAAAGCAGTCAACACAGCTTAACTTATAATGTTAATTTAATTAAAATATTTTTTGATTATTCTGAATATTTTCCATACTTTTTCGATTTGTAAACATGCCTAAATGTCAACAAAATCTTGTAAATCACAATTTTTAAGCCAGACAGAAACTAGGAAACACTGATGATGTCAAAGAACATCAACACCTCTGTTGCACTTCCTATAATATCGGAAACTAGTATTCTTCCTTCAGCCTCATAACGAGGAACAAGTGAGTTTAATGTGAAACTTTGCGTGGGACCATGTAGGTTGCGTAATCACAACGTCCTCACTTTATTTCCAGCCAGCAGGAAGGTGAATGTTGCTCACTGTAGAGCTCCACCTCTCTGGATGTCATGTGTTGACTTTGATATAGTGTTATGGGTAGGGTGAGGTTGTGGTTGGACCTTCTAGCTCCACCCATTACACCCAAGTTACATCCAGAGAGGGGGAAGCTGGACTTCACGCTCCACCCATGGCTCTCCAGGAAGGATGAATGAATGAATGAATGACCCGGAAACCGATCGAGCTCAGCCATCTTGAAGGACATCTCAATTCTCTAATTGCACCGTGAGGAGGCAAGGATCGAGGAGTGAGGAATCTTCCAGAGGAGTCATGAGCGAGGATACACAGGTGTATCCTATGCGGAAGTGTTTTATCGACTAAACGTGACGCACGTTTAACCTTCAACATCATAAGGGCAGGGCAGATCCTTTGAGCGATATTGATGACGCTGTGAAGTGACGTTCGAGTGATCAAGTTTTCCAATCTATAAAAAAAGCTTCCTCCTTCCTCCTTTTCTTTCCTTGCAGCCTTCCCTCGCGTCCTACAGGGAGTGGAGCTGAGACGCGAGGAAAGGAAACGAGGATGCACAAATAAGAACTGAGAAGCACCCATGTGGTCTCTGTGTGAGGTGTGCTTACCTGCTGTGATGGCAAAATCAGCAGCCACGTCACATGCTATCAGGTTCCCATTAGGCATGTATGCTTTAACTGCTGCTTTGACTTTACCCATACCAAGCTCATTACCACCATCTCCGATCCCTGTACACACACACGCACACACACACAATTAATCCTGTTAGGTAACAGTTCCCAATTAACGATTGGCACTAGGAGCGTTGTGATGAGATCCAAGTTGGTGATTCAAGCATTGTGATCGTTAAAAGAGATTAGGATGTTCACTACGTCAGATCAAGCAACATTTGACAGTGTAAGTTAATCACGGATGTTTGTTGCTTAGGCGCTTTGGCTTTGTTACCAGTGGTAGTGATTCCCGCAATAGTGCTGGCAGTGGTGAAGAGATCGTCTATTGAGTCGACCAAATGCCTGATGTTCACCCCTCTCATGTTGTAGTAGTTCCCGTCTGCAGCCCGGCCGCTGCGCTCTATTGCCACCAAGTGGTCGAACCTTTGCAGTAAAAAGGAACAATTATGAGTTCAACTACATGGTAAACAAGATATGGGCTATGTTTGGGAATAGTATACTGGTTTTACTATTTAGTATGTATACTGTGGCGCAATATGCAAATTAGGTTAAGACCTAACCTTTCTTTTTTTTTTTTATGTGTGACGAATGAACGGAATAATAATACCAAGTGTCTGATTTTTAACACATCTTTCTTGAGTCATTATTTGATCAGAATGGCAAGAGTTGGATTAAAGGAATATTCCGGATTCAGTAAATCAAGCTCAATCGACAGCTCTTGTGGCATAACGTTGATTTCCACACTTCTAAACCCTTAAGCTTCTTAAGGTAAAGGTATATCCAATTTCACAACTTTGTTTTCACATACCTTTTACCAGAATAGTAAATGTGATTTTATAAAACCATCAGCTTCACACATTACTCTATTTAAACCCTCCAAAAAATTGGTTACATTCACTTCCATTATAAGTTTTTCATAGAAAAAGTGAGACAAAAATTTTTTGTGTGTGGGAATCAATACTATGCCACAAAGGCTGTTGATTAATCTGGAATATTCCTTTAGTAATGCATTAAGTAATGGGTAATAATGCAGTCATTTTCATAAAATAAACCCCAACATGGTTTCTAATATCACCCTTATTTTATGATAATGATTGGCTAAAAGTACACAATCCCTCTTATTACATGGGTAATCACCAAATAACTACATAAAATGGACATGACATATTAATTTGAGGTGAGACGGAAGTGTGATACGAGAGACACGAAGCTACCAGTTATATACTGTAATCGGTTATCTGGAACAACAGTGAGATACAATTTAATTATGTACAATACTACTGTTTATAATATTCATTGTTGCATAATGTGCTCAGTTTAACTTTTTTTTTTAAATATACAGTATGCATTTGCAATTGACGTCATTTTCAGGCATATTCTATCACATTTGATCTTAATAAACACCAAGAAAAAGCAGTGGATGGAAAATTAGACTGAACCACCATTACACCTGGGCTTTGTGGGATCGCCATCATGGCATAGGAAGTGAAGTGGTGAGTCAGGGCCTTTACTCTGGAAACTTATTACAGGAACTGGAGTCTTTATCACACCTGTTAATGAAGAACACACACATACACACACATAGAAATCTTGGTACATTACAATAACACCGTATTCTAATGTCATGTTTTCTGCCCTCACTGAAAGTGAAATGCTATGCAAAGCAACAAAAATCACAGCCAAATATATTTGATACGTTTTCTTTGTAAATCAAATTGTGAAATATTATTTAAAAAAACTTTATATGTCCATTTGAAAATATAATTTATTCCTGTGATGACAAAGCTGAATTTTCAGCATCATTACTCCAGTCTTCAGGGTTACACGATACTTTAGAAATCATTATAATATGCTGATTTGATACTCAATAAACATTTCTTATTATTATCAATGTTGCTGCTTAATATTTTTGTGGAAACCTTGATTTTTTTTCAGATCAATAGAATTTATTTATATTTTTTCCCCCACTAAATTTCTCACATTTGTTGAATAAAAGTAATAATTTCTTTAAAAAAAAAACAAAAAAAAAAACTGACTGACCCCACACTTTTAAATGGTAGTGTATATATGTGTATTTGAGCTTGACACTAATACGTTTCACCAGCATTTTCATTAGCATGTCAGCTCAAAATGTTAGGCTGCAAATCACGATACTATGGCTCTATATTTCCTGTTTAAAGCTGTTGTAAGTGATTCCAGTCATTCAGGGGCACTGACCTTTTTTAACGTTTTAACCAACCACAAAACATGTCTGCACAAGGAATGACAGACAAAACGTTTCTGACTAGCTAGTTTTGTGATTGGCTTAAAAAAAGTGCAGACAGACTTTTTACATGGAAAACTTGGAAATATCAGGGAATATAAAATGGTGATTTCAGCGAAATGTCATGGAAAAAATAATGGAAATTCATTGTTCGGTGAGTGTGGGAACTTTTGGGAAATTTCTACTAAATGCAGTCACAGAAACAGGTGTAATTTCTCATGACATCTATTTTAGTGATATCTGTTACTTACAGCACCTTTGATGTGAAGCAGATTTTGTAGCTGCGAGTTTACATGGTGTGCGGATCGGATCAACACAACAAAATAAAAGCCAAACAACACACGGCTAGTTATGTCGCTTAATTACGTCTGACTAGCAATTAGCAAACCAGAGAATATCTCAAAAACACTAAATCAGACCAAATGCGGCACCTTTCTTCACAGCATCCTGCATGATGAGCTGGTTCATCTCCAAAGCCCGCTCATCCGTCACGATGACCACCTGTTTGCGGAGTGCCTGAAGCATAGCTGCCATGGCGATGGCCCCGGGCGGCCCATCAGTCTCTTCAGGGGGGCTGTGCATGTAGTGTGTGGGGAAGCCAGTAGTGATGAGAACAGAGGAGGAATGGGACAGAGAGAGACAGGCCTTTAGGAGCTCGTCCTGCAAGAACAGGGCCCGAATACCTCTTGCACCTGCACACAAACCACAGACTTACACTGTATGCATCTTTAAAGTCATGATAAAACAGAAGTAGGGACAGATTATAGAAAAAAGGAAAACATTGGGCAACACAGTATACAGTAATAAAGTACTTTCATATAATTTGCAAACTATTAGATGATAGTTAATTCATAGTAGTCTCTACATTGTTAATATATTAATAGGCTACATACAAATAGTGAGTTCTTCATTCATTGTCACTGTAATTAACCAATTTATTATCGTTTAATTAGCTCATAAAGCGTTAGATAATGCGGTTTATGCTTGTTAACTTATTAACTGTAAATAGTCCTAACTTTAGATTAAGTCACAGAAAATGTCATTAAGTGCTTTAAACCAACCTTTTTTAGACATTATTTGCATTAGAATTAAGTGTTTCTTAAAAAATATTTATCTGAGGGATTTGAAATGTAAAAGTGACACGGAGATGGTGTTTTTATTACTCAATAGGTAAGGTATTTTATTGAACAGATAAAAATCACCATGTAGTTCTCTAAGTTTTAATGCTTTACAATGAACTCTGTTAATGCCAGACAGTGACCCTAAAAAGTATTTGTACACTTAGGCCACACTTAATGTATTAATGTTGCACTCAATTTTATTTTAGTAGTTGTGCTTATGTTGTCGTAGACTTACACTGATACCTAGTGGTGTGGATGTAGCAGCATCACGCAAAGGCAAATATTTTTATTACAGTTAATGCCACTGTATAAATGCAATTTTCTGGATACATGTTTCCATGACATTAAGAACAAATCAAAATGTATTTTCCTCAGTTAATTTATTCAATATTTTAGGTAAGTATCACATTCTTAACTGCTGATGGTAAAAAAAGGCACCAAACTGAACAAACTGCAAGTTTCTTATTCATGTAAAGACTTGTTAAAGTCTTGAACTTTTATCCATCTTAGAGACTTTTGCACTTGTTTCGGAATTAATGAAGTTTGCTAGTCTTTCATAACTCCATTCGTATACTTCAAGTTTAAGTGTAAATTTCAGTCAGCAATAAAACAATGTCTGCCCTCATAAGATGACCAACTCCGTATAAAATGTATACCATTTTATTAGACTACTAATATGACTGGAATCTTTCTTATTCGAGTGAGCGTGAGTGAACGTTTTTTTTTTTTTTGTAAATTCAGTCTATTCATGTGCTTTTTTATTTTTTTATAAATGACTGACATTGTTCATTGTAAGTGCATCTTTCTTAATCATTCACATGGTTTTTTAGTATGAAGGACTAAAAATGACATAAGGAAAAATAAATAAATAAAAGTAGAAATAAATAAATAAATGCAGAAATATAGTAAAAATAAATACATTTTGGTAATATAAATGGCTATTTCTGTATTTTTACATGTATTTATTTATTTATGCATTTCTATATGTATTTATATATTTATTTATACATTTATGTATTTATATATGTATTTATATATTTATTTGTACATTTATTTATTTCTGTATTTCCACATTTATTTATTTCTGTATTTCCACATTTATTTATTTCTGTATTTCCACATTTATTTTTCCCTGCGCCTGTATGCTAATTGAGTGGGGGGTGCCAACATCAGTCTGAAGCAGGATTGGTTAGCTGGGGGCCGCATCGCTAACCAGACAGAAGCAAACGATCCATCTATCCATCTCTGGACGCAGGCTGCGGCTAGTGTGTAATACCATCTATGGTAATGAGTCGGGCGGTGCTTAACTGTGGATCGTCAGTTTTCAACAGTACACTGAAATATATTTCTGAAAAGATTTAAAGCGAGAAATAGACAATCCAGCAACAGAATCTTGATTCATATTTGATCAGCATTGCCTAGTTTTACAGTTTGTTGTGAGCCTGATGCTTTGCTTTGGACGAGTCCATCATGCAGTGCCGGGCGGGGTTGGGATTAGGCAATCAGGTACTGACTTCAACGGGGGGGGGGGGGATGGGTAATAATTTGGCAGGGGGTCGAAATTAGGCACAACACCTGTTCTACTGATTGACATCTTCTTAATCTATGGTGACATCCATCAGCGGATCCAAGAACATTTTGCTTAATTTCAGACTTTAATGCACCCACACGGAAGAATTTGTGCATTGAATATAATGTTAGAAAAATTAAACCATACACTGTCAACTAATGATGTGTAGACCATCGTTCTTTTGTTACTCAGTATAGTTTTTATTAAGGATGGGGATCGAGACCCGGTTCTGAAAGGACCCAAACTTTCTCTAAAATCAATAAGGTCCGAGCTTATCGGATAGGCTACTGCTACTGTTTCTAATGATGGCACCGAAACGCGGTATTAACCAATCCTGGTTCAGACTGATGTTGGCACCCCCCACTCAATTAGCATACAGGCGGAGGGAAAAATAAATGTAGAAATGTGGAAATACAGAAATAAATAAATGTAGAAATGTGGAAATACAGAAATAAATAAATGTAGAAATGTGGAAATACAGAAATAAATAAATGTAGAAATAAATATATAAATACATAAATGTAGAAATACAGAAATAAATGCATAAAAAATACATGTAAAAATACAGAAATAGCCATTTATATTACCAAAATGTATTTATTTTTTACTATATTTCTGCATTTATTTTTTTATTTCTACTTTTATTTATTTATTTATTTTTCCTTATGTCATTTTTAGTCCTTCATATTATAGAGGTCAAAACGGTGTTTCTTCATACCTGGGTCTTCTACAACGAGCTCCTCAATTGCTCGAATCTGTTGAACAGCTCTTTTGCTAGTCATACTGTAAAGCTGAGGATTCTGGGAAATGCAGATTGTCAAAGGGCATTGTGCTGGCTCAAGTGTGAGGGGTGAAACAGTTTCTGCCTTTTGATCAGTGATGAACATGCAGCCAGGAGAGTGTGTGAACGCTAGAGCGGGCTCTGCAACATTAAAAAACAAATGGTCATACAGTTCTTTCGACACATTGCATAAAAATGATCTGTGTATGCGGCAAAAATGACATTACTGTATGTAAATCTACAGCAAAGTTCCTGAATGATTTCAAAATATGGCACAGTTTAAACGGTTAAGTCCATCTGTATTGTAATATTGAGGAGTTTCTTGATCTTACTGCAGCTCTGTACAGCCTCAACACCGGTGACCCCACAGGCCCAGAACACAGGCACATCACCAGAACACACTTCCACTGGGTCCCCATAGTCTGGTCGTGACAAGTCATGGATGCCCAGCAGCTCTGGAAGAGAGAATCAAGGGCGTTTACGAGATGTTGAACTCTTTCCCCGCCACTAACTGAATTTTGACAATCCATGTTTTGACTTGTTATATGGTAGGGGTGCTATTACGCATCTTCTGAAAAATTACAGAATCTCTCCAGATCAAAACACAGGTAAAGAATCTGAAGAAACAAGCGAAATAACGCAATCATCAAACACCATATTAAATCAAAACAGCCTAACATTATGCTACCGAATGAAATGTCGACCCAGGAAGAAGTATAGTACTGTGCAAGCGTGGGGGGTGTTGATGCACGTGATCTAGCCTACTCCATCTGTCTAGGCCTGTCTATCGTTCTGAATACGATCCGGAGTCTTTTTCATCATCTTTTTTTGAGTTGCCAGCCAGTGCCAGCATTTTTTATCATTTTCATATATATATTTCATATATATATATATATATATTTGTTTAAAAGCCGAGGCTCTGTTCTTTCTTAAGAAAGAAAGAAAGAAAGAAAGAAAGAAAGAAAGACGAAAGAAAGAACGAAAGAAAGAAAGAAAGAAAGACGAAAGAAAGAAAGAAAGACGAAAGAAAGAAAGAAAGAAAGAAAGAAAGAAAGAAAGAAAGAAAGAAAGAAAGAAAGAAAGAAAGACGAAAGAAAGAAAGACGAAAGAAAGAAAGACGAAAGAAAGAAAGACGAAAGAAAGAAAGACGAAAGAAAGAAAGACGAAAGAAAGAAAGAAAGAAAGAAAGAAAGAAAGAAAGAAAGAAAGAAAGAAAGAAAGAAAGAAAGAAAGAAAGAAAGAAAGAAAGAAAGAAAGAAAGAAAGAAAGACGCTGGTGGGGAAAGAACTAAAGAGGAGTTGTATTTTTCACCTCCAAGCCCCTAAAATGTTAACAGTTCAAGTATGTTTAGAGATGAATGTATTTGAACACTTAAAAGGAGTAGTTCACTTTTTAAAAAACTTTTGCTGATAATTTACTCATCCCCATGTCATCCAAGATGTCCATGTCTTTCTTTCTTCAGTCGAAAAGAAATTAATGTTTTTGATGAAAACATTCCAGATGACCAGATGATGAATAAGGGTCTTATCTAGAGAAACGATCTGTCATTTCAAAAATAAATAAAAAAAGTTAAAGTTTTATAGGCACAAATGCTCGCCTTGCGAACTCTCCTGTTCGAACTCGTTCATCAAAATGAACGAATCTTTTTTCGAGTCATTGACTCGTTCATTTTGATGAACGAGTTCGAACAGGAGAGTTCGCAAGGCGAGCATTTGTGCCTATAAAACTTTAACTTTTTTATTTATTTTTGAAATGACAGATCGTTTCTCTAGATAAGACCCTTATTCATCATCTGGTATCGTTTAAAGCCCTTTGAAGCTGAACTGAAACGGTAATTTAGACCTTGAACCGTTTGGTGCCCAGCAAAGTGCATTATATGGAGAAAAATCCTGGAATGTTTTCATCAAAAACATTAATTTCTTTTCGACTGAAGAAAGAAAGACATGGACATCTTGGATGACATGGGGATGAGTAAATTATCAGCAAAAGTTTTTTTAAAAGTGAACTAATCCTTTAAGCAACTCTTAAAAATGTATGAATCTCCATTCGTTAGATAACAGCATATCAAAGCCAGTGCTGTTATTGTTAATGAAAAACTATTACAAATATTTTCCATTATTACACAAAACATTTGATGAAAAACAACTTAAACGAAAGCTCATAAAATTATAAAAATTAAAACTGAAGATGGAAAAATAAGGCAATTCACAATATTAATAAAATATATAATGGTATATAAATAATACTAAAATAACACTGATCAAACCAAGAGTAATTTATTTTAAATAAATAAAGCACAAACACATTTTTCAAGTAAAACATATACTAAAAAAATAAAGACTACTTGCACCTTTTGGGTTGTCAAATGTTGCAGCATGGACAATGTTCATAAGTAATGTAGTTAAACTGTGCTTAGTGTTCAAGTTCACACAAGTGACCTATTAGAGTGACTTCATTTATACTAAAACTCGCCTTAAGGAAAGCATCATTCGTTTGCACATGCACCTTGCATCAATATTTTGTGTAACTTTGCCAATTGTGTTGGTAAATGATTAGAGAAACTTTCATTCTTTTGAAACAAGTACATACTAGGGTGTCCAATATGGACAGGGCCTCCATGTGCCAGTGGGATCGCGTGTGTGCATTGAGCCGCAGCATCCAGTTTGTCTTCTGGTACAGGTCTCATGCTCACCACCATCGGACAATCAAACTGACCTGCTCTAATACAAGGTACTGATGTCTGAAAAAAAACAAAAAAACAGGAATAAGCACTTCGAGGATTTCCTTTTGCTAATTTTTACAATTTCAAAGATGGGACAAAAGCAGACTCAAGCTAAATCAAGTAAATAGCTGTCCTACACATGGATGTAATGCAGGCCTGGGGTGAACACTGACCTTGTACATACTGACATTTTTACCCTGTTCCACATTTCTCACTGGAACACCAGCGGCCGTCAAGGCTGCTTCAAAGCCAAAACTACAGCCGAGGTAGAATGTGACCATGTCCGCAAGTTGAGGAGTGTAGGAGGATAAACTAGCCATCTTCTTCATTAGCTTGCCCTTCTCAAACACACAGTACTCTGGACAGTCCTCCCTGATTGAAAGACAGAACAAGCAAGTCTCTTCACATATCTATCGCACTTTCACCATCCATCATAAGTCATTTACAGCAGGAAAGAGTTTGAATGAAACGCATATGTGAAACTGGTCTCTAGGATTAAACCTGGTCCCAGACTAAACTGCATGTTTGAGCTGTCTTCACTGAAAACAACTTGCACTGATAGATGTTAAAATATGTCACATCCATTGTTTTGTCTCAAGATGCACATCAGTAATGGTTTTACCTAAGGCACGTTTATAAAAGCTACTTATTTGTCAATTTAACTAAAGCCTAATCCTGGTTTAATCTAATCCCTGTCTGTCAGGGACGGACTGGGACTAAAAAACGGCCCTGGACTTTGACTAGGCCCGGCCCAAAGCAATCGGTGCGCGGAAACTCGACAACAACAACAATAACGCCTGCCATGAGTGTCACTTTAACTGTGGCTCATGATAGCCTACTATACCATCCAAATTATAGCTAACAGCATATTATACAATTTATTCCATGCTGTCTTAAAATTAATTTATTACTTAATAATCTTAATTAGTTTATGCAGTAATTAATCTTAGCTACTGCACAAATAATAATACCACATCTAAATGAAAATTAACACTAAAGGTGATTAACATCTAAACACCATTACAAATGTAACTTCTGTATTCAAAATCTTCAAAGTTTGTAAGCATTAACTGTAACATTACCAACATTTTTAAAAGTAAAAGCACAACATATTTCTTAATATTAGCAACTGCATGTGGCATTTTACAGCTAAAATGTTGAAGTTTAGCTGTTTTATCTACTGTAATCATTAAAAATGTAGCAAGCTGAATATCACTTCCTAACATCATCCCTAGCAAGTAACTTGCAAAGTAATTTCTGATTAATTCGGTTCGGGAGTAGTAGAGATAAAAGCCCGCCCGCACTGACAATTGATTGGTTGGGTCCTTACATGCGCTTCGTGAGGGACACGCGCACACTAGCGCACACTAGCACACACACGCAATCTCTCGCTCCCTCTCTCTCTGCCGTGCACGCGCTACGCATGCGCGCTCTTGCTCGCTCTAGATTCCGGGAGATTTTAACTAATTTGCGGACATCAGGGAGCCGCTATCAATATGCGGGAGACTTGGGATGTGTGTGGCGGCTGGTGGGCCGGCCCGCCGGCCGTCCTGGAGTACCGGCCGTTCTGTGATTCTCCAGATCACACAGATGGCCAGTCCGCCCCTGCTGTCTGTGAAACCGGGCCATAGTGAGGGATTATGGGTTGTGCATACTAAAGGTCCCAGCCTGTTTTTTAAAGGTGCAATAAGTGATTTCTGAGAAATGCTGTTGAAAGTGGTTCAGACCAAGCACTATAACCCACTTGTAGCCAATCAGCAGTAGGGGGCGTGTCATCTCATGATGGGGGAGGAGAGAGAGTGAGAAAGAGAGATGGCTGAGAGACATTACAAAAAAGAAAAAGTCAGAGGAATATCACTGGAAAAAGAATCATGATCAGACAAGCGCTTTAATATTAGAAAAGCTTTCCAGCGCTGGAGAGACCTGAGAACGGACGCCGAGGTTGTGTCGTTTCTGCTCCATACGCGATTAACATTGGTTTTGAGTGTCATTGTCTGGAGCTGGTGTGCTGCTGCTGGCGACTAACAACCAACTCTTGCTTTTAAATACTCTAATGTAGTGTTGTCAAAATATTCGGTACTTCGGTACCAAGTCGGTACTAAAAAAAATGTAAACGTCACGGTACCATGTACCGGTGGTACCGAGTACCCGGTCAAACCCGGTTCTGGAAGCGCATGCACGAAGGGCGTGAAGTTGCGTCGTCTTCATGAAAGCGCTGAGACATGGCGACCGGCGGCGCTGCTGATGTGGTGTCTGTGTATATAAAAATATAAACTGTGTATATAAACTGCAAAAAGACTATTTAAATATTAACCCTGCATGTTCTGCTTGTCTCTGTGTGAATGAACGGCGCAGACTCGCGGTTTCATTTACCGTTACCTCACACACACACTGAAGCACAAGTGATGCTTCAGTCTCTGCTGCCTCACGATATGGTGACATGATTCATGATTCAATTCATCTCCGAGAGTCACTTCATGATCATTTTACCGTTTCATTTGAGAAAAACTATCGTCATATCATACACGCACAGAAACTCAAAGGTCTTCATGGCAACCCGTCAAAATAAAAGTTTGGTTTAACTTAAAGAAATTGACAGAAATAATTATATTAGGCTACTGTACAATAGATTTAACTACATCTCCATTAATTAAAAATACTACTACTAATAATGTGTGCATAGAAGGTTGCTTATTTTTCACTTGATTTTTTTATAAGCAATATTTCTCAATATCATCAATATTTTCGTTTAAACAGCATGTAGCCTTCAATGCTTTCATAAATGTACCGTCATAAATAATAAAGTCATTGAATTGAATTTTTTTTTTTCAAATAATTAAATAAATTGGAAAAACAGTTCAAACTGATTTTGCTGTGGTACCGAAATTGGTACCGAGAACCGTAAAATTTTAATGGTATCGGTACCGACTACTGGAATTTTGGTACCGTGACATCCCTACTCTAATGTACTGCATGTTAATTTTTTGCCCATAATCTTTGGTTTATTTTCCACAAAACTTTTTCTTTGCTTCACTTCTGCTATGATAGAGAGACATCCACTCTGGCAGGGTGTGTTAGTTGGGGTTGATTTCAAATATTAACAGTGCCGAACAATGATTCTCAGAAATTGCTAACTGCACCTTTAAAGAACAGCCCATTGAGTAAATAGGTAGTGGAAAAATAAAATAGACTGAAAACCCCTGACCAAGACTTTCACATTTCTTTTCATTCCTGTGATCCCTCTGGTGTGAAGATACAGTACCTGATGTCAGATCCTGTGGCGAGGGAGCAGCTCCATTCTCCACATTTGCTCCTGTACAGCAGAGGGAGCGGGCTGCTGTTAGCCCGACAAAACGCCTCAAAGTCATCAGCAAGATCCTTGTGCAAGATCACCACGTTAGCCTGTTGATATCCTGTCAGTAAACATCATTTTCTCTGTGAGATCCGGCAATTGTCACCATGCTTGCAGACTTTGTAAAATGAAATCTTACTTTTTTTTGCTGAAGATTATGAATGTACAATTTGGTATGCAATAATTTTTTTTTTTTTAAGTATCCGGGTGCTCTAAAAATCACACAAGATCCTACTGGAACAATGAACTGAAGTTTCAGCTTTCAATTTATATACAGTATAAAGCACACTCTTTTGTCAAGCAGAAATGTGCTTTGCTAACACAATGATAAAATCATAATAAAATCAAGAATTAAGGTAACATACCATGGCATCTAACCATGATTTTTTTAACCTTTCATACCTGCTGCTATACCAGATGTGTTGTTAATATCCAGACTCTGCTGGCGAATTACAGTCCGCAGAGAACGCGGAGACAAACCCTCTGACTGACACATGCTGATTCCTCTGCGTTACGACAGCCACTAGTATAAAGCCAAGCTAGTTAATGATTTTAAGCTGGTGTAAACCCACTGTTGTAAAGATTAATGCATGATGGTGCATAGTAACTAACACCAGACCGTTTGTGAATCATACCTGGCCTCATGTTTGCTGCTCGGGTGCTGTATTTCAGTCTGACAGCACGACGGAGAAAACTTCTCATGCCATCACATTTCAACAGCACTGCAGGAAACATTGTCACAGGTTACTGGTCTGCAAATTATGATGTCCTGGAGAGAAAACTTACTTACTTTTCTTTCTTTATTTAGCACTGCTAAATACAACAGAGGTTGCCCAAAGTGCTTTACATGAAAATAAAAAGAATAAAAGATAAAACATACGTATATTAACAAATCTCACACCACAGACAACACATTGAGATTACCTGTTAAGCGGTCAATAAAAATGCGCCTTGAGCAAGTTCCTGAGAATACTGAAAGATTTAGCAAGGCTAAAAACTGATTTCAAGGCCAGGAAATGTGTGCGCGCGCGTGTAATGGAAAAGTTTTTTTTAACCCTTAAATGCATGAATGTTTCTTTAACTACCCAGATCTATATCTAACACGGATGGATCTCTACTTGTCACGACAATATAAAACTCTCCTGATTTTAGAGTAACAATTACAGAAGAATAAATGAAAGCATATTTTGTTACCTTTTTGAGCTCGGAAGGGTTCAGTTTGAGCAGATGTTTTATACCATCCTCACTGTCCTCGTCAGAGATCATTTCCCAGAACATTCAGCATCTGGCACATATTCGCAATCTCAAACATATTCTCAAAACTATCATTTTCAACATCTTCAAAATCAATATTTTGATCGCTGACAGCTTCTTTCACCAGATCCACCATCAAGTGACAGTTACACTAATAATATATTACTAGTATTTGCTCTGCAGTAAATCACTGAGCCATTTCAAGTTTTGCTGATGATACTTCCTATTCTCTTGTTTTCTGCCTGTGGTAACTGCGTGAAACGTCACTTCATCATTGTGTATCAGACATTATCAGTACATGTATCAGACTTTGTGGAATAAAGCTGAATTGCACTTATTCAGTCACCCAAGATTAAATTATTGATGTGCAGAAAAAATATACTTACACGGTTACAAAACTCAGGTTTTTAGCGACCCTATAGGCTACAATGTTTACAAAAATATTTATGGAAAAGGCACTATTTTATTAAAAAAATAATCTTTTTATTTTGTTTATAACAAATTGATTGAGAAATACTAAGGTTGATATCTAACTTTAAAAAATGAATTAGGAGGAGGGTAGTGAATGACGAGGTATGCTTTTAAGGGTTAAATAGTTTACATGTATCGTGTATGCATCAAGCGTAAAGCTAATATCGGATTCAATTTTGAATTTGAGTCTCTTCAGGCCTTACTGTACATTTATGAGCTTTCAGAACTTCTGATTGAAGCTGTGTGTGACGTAACTGAACTCCTTTACACAAATTGAACAGAAATAAAAACAGTATAAATAACAAAAATAAATAACAGTTTTCTCTTAGTCTTATTAAGTGCAAACAATAAGTGCAGTAAATCGGTTTATCAAACAATAAGTTCAAGTGCAACTATAAGCCTACTCTCTCAATATTCGAAGTGCAAACAGACCATAGCCACAACTAAACAGTCCAGAGATGGGTATTGGGACTGAGATGGACTATTGTATTTATGCAGCCTAATTCGCCTGCATCAGGGAGCTCCTGTTTTACTTTCAAATTCGCGATCGCAGTACTCTGAGTAAAGGGAGCAGCGGTGCTGAGCGCACATTCTAAGACAAGACATTTATCAGACAGACGTTTAAGCTCAGTTGTGCAATGAATCCTCCGCCATCGTCACGCGATCAGTGAACGGTGATTATTGCTGCACTGATTGCGACGGCAACTCGTGTTGGATGAGCAGAGCAGACTTTTACATTAGTTTATAATGGTTTTTATTTTTTTTATATAAACAGCAAAACGACAGTTGACAGCGAATGTGAATAGCCCCTCGCGTGGCACGAGATCTCGTCTATTGCACAGAATCTGCGCATATCTGGCTTACTTGAACATACACGTCACTGTGCAATGTTCAAATAATGGCACGCTTGTTCATTTGCATTGAAGCAATACCGAAGATTAAAAAAGCATTTGGTTAACAGAAAAGACTTTGTTATTTTTTGGTTAAAAGGATGAGGATGAAACAGGAAGGGAGAAGATGGCTGGATGACAGGATTTAGTTTGAATAAGAAATGAATGTATGAAATCCACATTTTATTTTATATATATATATATATATATATATATATATATATATATATATATATATATATATATATATATATATATATATATATATATATATATATATATATATATATAAATAAAAGCTGTGACGTAGTAAATCTGGTTTATTTATGGCTAGTAGAAGTTCTGAATGGCCGGCAACTTAATTTAGTAGCCAAATTGGGCGGTGAGTGAAAAAGTTGATTTCAAACCCTGGATATAATTGTTTTTAACATCATGCAATGGCAAATGAGCCCACCGGTGGGCCAGGGGCAGTTAACAGGTTAAAGCAATTTTAGACACGTTTCAGGACAAGGAGACACGTCACTGCCCAGTGCCTACATACATGCGTTACGTCATCAGCGCTCTTGTTGCTACACTACACCTTGACGTGACATGCTCACATCGTTCGCAATGCAAAACGATAATAAAAGCGTATATCTGCTGCAGTGGAACGTACAGCTGAACGAAAATATACGCTGGCTGCGTCCGAAATCCCATACTCTCTTGAGTAGGTACTTATTTTAAATTGGAGTAATTACTTCAGGGCTGCTAAAAAAGTATGTTCTATATCAGGGATAGGCAACGTCGATCCTGGAGTGCCGCTGTCCTGCAGAGTTTAGCTCCAACCAGGGGCGGATCTAGGAAAATATTTATGGGGTGGCAAGAGGGGGGCAGGAATTTTTGAGGGGTGGCAACATGGCAGACGTATATATACTGAATTTATTCACAGTTAACAGTTTGATGAGAAATCGTATGTGTAACACACTACAAAAGGGCATTATTTGTATCTGTTTTGTGTGTGTGTGTGGGGGGGGGGGGGGGGTTGGGGGTTGAACTATACTAAAAGTTGAACTATACTCAGTTGAACTATACTCCACAGTGATGAATCCTAAAACAAGCTATAAGCTGTATACTGGTTTTTCCCATGGAAATCTGTGGTGAGTGCAGAGTGCACCTCTGTCCCTCTAGGGGGGTTCGGGGGCATGCTCCCCCGTAAGAAAATTTTGTGCTTTTTAATGTTAAATTCATCAATCTGGTGCACTTTGAGAGTTCAAAATAAAGAGCTCCAACCCATATTCAGTGTGCAAATTGAACAAAAAAAAAACTCAAAACTCTTTTTAGTTGTGATATAGTGTCTGTCTACATTACACTACTATATAATAATAGTTATAATATTAAATAAAATACCCTGTGAACATTCACACGTTATCATAGGCTAAAATTTATCTCCATAAATATTAAATAATATTTTCTTAATTCTGCGCATGTATTTTTACTTACTTACATCAATTGCTCGATCAATATTATTATCACATATTTTACATTTATATTTTTAACTGTACACAAACAACTTAATATAGCTAAGTTTGTGTATATTTTACACGTAGTAAAATACTGTAGGCTACTGCTTATAAACACCAGACAGATAATGATATATGAAACAGATGTTCTTTACTCATCTCACTTGCACAAAATAAATGCAGTAATATAAAGCATAGAAACGCACAGGTGAAATACACTGAAAATGATATATGCATTTAAAAATTTGGTCGGGTTGAAAACTTATCTCTCTGGTAATGGAACTCGGTCGCTGTTGTCTCTTGCTCTCGCTGTCTCCCGCTCTCGCGGTCAGATCACCGGAAGTATTTGCCCACACAATAAAGTACGAACGTCAACGGTCGTCATATTATGCACGGAGCGAATTCACTGCAGTCGGACATTGGAGATTCGCGTTCGTAAATTGTCAAATTGGCCATAACTTTTAATTCGTTGCCGCCAACTGGGGTGGCAGCAGGGGTGGCAAGGCTTTCTTTTAGGGTGGCATTTGCCACCCTATGCCACCCCGGTAGATCCGCCCCTGGCTCCAACCCTAATCAAACGCACCTGAGCAAGCTAATCAATGTCTTCAGCATTACTAATGCTAAAGGCAGGCGAGTTTATATCAGGGTTGGAGCTAAACTCGACGTTGCCTATCTATCCCTGTTCTATATAGTTTCACATGCACACCAGAATCTCGCTGGAAGTAGAAGGTCATCCAGGTACTTTTTTGTCTACTCTTTTATCAGTACTGTGAATTTGGACATAATTTTTAGTCTAACTATATAGTAGGGAAGTATGCGATTTCGGACGCAGCTGCTGTCTAGAAGCGTACTGACACTTCCGTGTTTGGGACAACCAAACAAAATTTCACGCGACCTGCAGTTTCTCACAAATCACAGATCTTTTCCATGCTATGTCAGATTTGGCAACCTAGCGAGGTTACCATAAGCATTTACAAAACTCACCCATCGCTGTGGATCAAAAGCGAATGCAGAAGGTCAACAGCGATTCTTTTTGAGAAAACACAAAATGGCCAAAACGGCACTACTGGTTTTATACACAAGAGGGCGCTAAACACTCAATGACCAAATACAAGACGGACACCCAAAAAACATTGATAAACTGTATAATTTAATTGTTTTCTCCATACAATACTCGTATGATTCATATTCGTTTTAGATTATTGCTTTACATTAAAATGCATTGGTTGGATACATCCATTGCTTGCAAGACAATACATTCAAGTTACACATCAACGTCTTGTGTTGAAAATCATTAAATCTGTACCTTACAGGTTTCTTATATGCCGTTCCACTCACAGTGCAGCAGGTCACCTGTGAAGCAGTTGCGCATGTATCTGTGCATGTGTCTTAAATAAATCAAAAGACTGCATGAGAAATTCTCATACTCATGTGTGTGCATATTCATGCCTGACAGAGTCATTTGAAGCATTTTACTTCAAGTTTCTGTCCTCTGAAGACACATACAATGGAGTGCTATACAACTGGCAACAAAGACATCCCATCCGAAGTGACCCGATGAAACAATCAAACCACCCCAGAGGTCAGAGATTTATAAAATACACAATGTAAAAAAAATCAAGCATGGCACAAATTATCTGCAACAAAGTCAATAGTAAAGGATAGTGTGCTGACAAGTATCTTAAGTGTAGATTGCACTGGAAAAAAGAGAACTCCCAAAACAACCAGGAGAGAAACAAACAGAACAGACCTAAAGTACTAAATTACTGGCAGCATTTAATGCTAGAAAGACTTAACTATCTAACATGGCAACCAGGCATAGAAAGAAGCTTTCAATGCTCCTCCAACATTATGCATATAGTGTATCCATTTCAGCTGAATAATGTAATCGTACAGATCACCACTGAAAAAACACCACAGAACAAAGACGAAAGAAAAGAGTCATCAAGACAACACCGTCATTCTGCACAACACAAAGCCACAATAAACTAAAGTTGACTTTCTACAGAATGGCAATAATGTGATGTCTGATTAGATGACAGAATCTGCATGCTCGTGTAACAGCGGTGGACGATTTCAGCAGCTTTCACAAACATGGCTCATCTATGAAAATATAATCCCCATACTCAGCCCTCACCCACTGAGATTGCATATATCATATATAATGTGTACATCAAATACTGCAACACCTGTCGTTCTGCACACACAACAGCACCTCCTAGCACTTGACAACGACAGGTTCTACGACTGACAAAAGACACAAACACGTGTTCCCCTAAGCTCAAGTCCAGATCTCCTGAGCCCACTAGCCGCTGAATAGGGGTCCGGTAGCTGCCATTTATGGGTAACTCAGGAGACCTGTCAAGAACATGTTCAGCTCATACTTCACCCCAAAGTAGATTTTCAACCTCAAACCTCAATACTGTAATTTTCATCATGGCAACGGGAAAAAAAAATCTCATAATTACGCAAAAAAAAAAAAAACATTTTCACGTTTCATTTTGTTCTCATAACCGTAATGAGTTTTTTTTTTACCGTAATACAAAAAAAAGCATTTACGGTAAAATAAATTTACATTTTAAAGTATACATTTTAAGTATTTATAAATCATGGTAATATTTTGGGGATTTAAAAAGTGCTCAACTGCCATGGAAATAGATGTTGCAATGCATTTAATGGTCCTAAACCTTTACTTACAGTACTTGCACAATATAATTTATGTTTTACTTTTGATTTTAGGGTGAAATATGACCTGGGCACAGTTTCTTGAGATTCATCCTTATAGGGACATTGACAATGAGCTCACAAAGCTTTTGCCCTGCTTAAGAAATGGCTTCTTTGTGTCAAATCATGCATTACAGACAAACGGTAGTAAAGATCCAGAGAGGGAGGTACGGGTGCATTAGAAATAAAGAAAAAATGGCCTCTTAGGTCACATATGTAAATCCACCCCCCACCCCTCATCTGTAAGGAAGCACTAGTTCAAACAGGATCAGTGATGTTATATTTACATATAAACAACAAACACGTAGATTTATAGCATGTTTGCAAAATCCAGGATCCTCTGTGATGTCATCATCAGTATGCGTACGAAATATTAAAGCAGCCACAGTTGCCAGTCTCATATTCCACACTGCTAAAACAAGCAAAGAGCGGTCCTGAGGGTCGTCTGCTCTGGTCTGAACGAGAGGTGAGGAGCAGCTTTTGATGTGTGCTTTATGATTGGTTCCATTCACTAATGCAGGTCTGGAATGATAAAGGGAAACCAAAACATATCTAAAAGAGCTTCTGTTTCGGTGTGTCAGAAGCTGGCCCCCCTCGCTAACCTCTCCAGAAGCTCTCAGCAGGAAATATATTGTCCAGCTCATAAGGATTCCAGAACATCTCGCCCCCTGCTGCATGATCCATAACAGAAAATGCTTCACATCTGTTACGAGTCATATTTTCAAGAGTTTTCTTGGGTGTAACGAGCTGCGAGAATGACTTTCTTGCCCGAGGGCAGTGATTTCATGTCAGTTCCATCTTTTTGTTGCACCACATCAAGGACATACTTAAATTTTTTCGTACTGGAGGAAATAAATTAATGTGATATAGATGTTTTATGCCACATATAAAGTGCATTATATTCATGTTCATGTCAGAGTGTCTTAAGGGAAGACAGAAATTAGAAAATGTAGATTGCTAATGCATATAGGAATGAGCAGCATTCTTTGTCATTGCTGTGTGTGCAGTTTGTGATGAAAGTGTACAGTCTGAATCTTCCAGCTTCAAACAGTCCAGTACAGACAATTATGAGCTGCATTGTGATTGTCCAAGGTTCAGAAGTGGAAGAATATCCAGTTATAAAGAGCTGCCAACGAGAGTTTCATTTCCTGGAATTGATGGAGAGTCAACAGTCTTCTGGGAAATGCAGTTCTTCCATCTGAACCACAGTGGTGTGAATGTGAAGTGGGAGACAGTGGTTTTCTTCAACAGTAGAGACTCAGTAAGGAGATTATACAGAGGAAACAGCAGAATCATTGGTGATTTTGGTTCCTGGAGGTATTTTGGTTCAAAGCCCATGAAAATCTCCCGGCCTACAGTTCCTCGAGGCACATGGGCAGGTTGACGAACGTGAAGACGTTATATTCGATCATGACAGAAAAGCAGAGGAAAATGACATACAGAACAAGCACGTACACGCCCAGCTTAAAGTCCAATCTCCACCTGTTCACATGGATCCCCAACACCTGAAGGTGGAGAAACAAAATTAAGAGTTAAAAGTCAGAGCAAAACATATATACACAGCATGGACACCTAAACACTGTCATGCTGTAGCAGAACTGTAATTAAGTAGGGCTGTAAAAAAAAAAAAAAAAAAAAAAAAAAGATTCTCCCAATTATTTTGATCTTCATTTGAAACCCAAGATTGATCTTATACGTTATGCCTATTTTTAGTGGCTGTGTAAAAACGTACTTGTAAAGCGCTTCCAGTCCTGCACTTGCTGCTACGTTCTACTGAATGCACTTAACTGTATAGTTGGTCGACCAATATATTGGTTTTAAAGATGAACGGTGTAACAATCATGTGAGGGCACATGGATACATAATAGTTGGACACATTTGAAAAATACATTTAAAAACATCAAGTTAATTTGACTACGATCCTTTTCTCTCTCTCTCTCTCTTTCTGTGATATATTTATCCAATTATAAACTGATGAGCCAAAACATTACGACCACACACAGGTGAAGCGAAAAAAGTCGACCATGTCAACAGTCACATCAAGGTCTGGGTTGATTAGATGTTAATCATTTCTCATAGTCAACGAGTTGTATGCAGGAGAAATAAGTAGGAGTAAAGACCTGAGAGACTTTGACAAGGGCCATATTGTTATGGCCAGACACGTGTCAAAGCATCTCTGAAACGCCAAGGTTAATGGGGTGCTCTTGGTCAGCAGTGGTGAGAACCTACCGACAGTGGTCCGAGAAGACACAAACCAACAACGGTGTTGAGCTCCCAAGGCTCAGATGCGTGAGGGCAACAAAGGCTATTCCGTATAGTTCAAGCCAACAGAAGGTCTACTGTGGCACGAGTCAGAAAATTTTAAAGATGTTACGGGAGGAAGGGAATGCGATGCTCTGGGCAATGTTTTGCTGGGAAACTTTGGGTTGGGATTTTCTACCTAAACATTGCTGCAGACCAGGTACACTCCTTCATGACAATGGTGTTCCAAGATGGCATTGGCCTCTTTCCGCAGGATAATGCACCCTGTCCCACTGCACACAATGTACAGGAATGGTTTGAGTAACATGATGAAGAGTTCAAGGTGTTGCCCTGGCTTTCAAATTCCCCAGATCTCAATCTGATTGAGCATCTGTAGGATGTGCTGAACCAACAAGTTTGATCCATGGCAGCTCCACGTCGCAACTTACGACACTTAAAGTATCTGCTGCTAATGTCTTGGTGCCAGATACCACAGTGACAGGACACATTCAGAGGTCTGGAAGAATTCATGGTTCAGTGGGTCTGCTCTGTTTTGTCGGCACACGGAGGAGCAACAGCCTATTAGACAGGTGGGCATAATGTTTCGGCTGATCTTTGTATATTTCATGACAATAACTTTTTTTATTGTAATAATCACAAAACATTCTGAAGTCATTATTGCTAAATTTGTAATAAAGTTCAGGTCTTTTAAATGTACAAAATATACTTTTTCCAATTGAGTTGTTTTCTTCAGATTTTAAAAACTATCAGTGGATTAATCAGTTATTTGCCAGGTTATTAGTTATCTGTAAAATTCATTATCGGTCGACCTGTAGGACCCTGCAGTAAATCCAAATAGTGTAGCCTGATTCACAAAACCAATGACCCTTAGGAGTAAGTTCTTTCGGTTCAAAGGAGTTCAAAAAGGAATTGGCAGTTTGAATCTATCTGAAATACTGCCCTGTATAATTTAAAATGTGCAGAGAGAGTATTTATTTTATATACACAAGCAAAATATAACCAAAATACACCCATATGAATCAGAATCTAAATCATATCTATATACCCAGCCAGAGAGCATTTAAAGAAGTTAGGTCTTCACTGGAATTAGGAGGCCTAACTAAAACTAAAATAGGGTGACCACATATAGTACTTTTGGCCATGTAATGTTTTTGTGAGGTGAATTGTTCTTCACATTTACTCACGGTTAAAGCAACCGAACCCAGCAGCAGGACAACAGAGTAAACCAATCCTCTACTGTTGATTTGAACCTACATAGGACACAAAAAATAAAAGGTCATTTTACAGTATTTGTGGCAGTGTATGTGTGTGCACATGGTTGAGGAGTGACAAAGACAGATACCACAGAGCCGTAGTTGACAGCCATTGTCTGGATGCCCCAGGGAACGCCGAGCCCAACCAGGATATCAAAGACATTGCTGCCAATCGTGTTCGAGACAGCCATATCCCCCAGGCCTGAGCACATAGACACAAATCCAGAGTTGGAAAGTAAGCTCATTTTGGATGAAAGATAAGCAAAGGTAAGAAAACAAAACAAAGGAGAGCTCTACCTTGTCGTGCGACAATAAGACTAGCTATGCAGTCAGGAACACTGGTGCCAGCAGCCAGGAAAGTTATACCCATAATGACATCTGGGATTCCAAGTGTGTATCCAACGATTGTGACCTGCACACAGCAACCCACATGAGAGCCTCAAAGAAATGCAAATGCTTAAAGGAATACTGCCCTACAAAGGCTAAGAGCAGTATCAGCAAAAACGGCAAACTGAGAAAAACAGCTTTTTGTGTTTTTCTTACACCAAAATATAAGCATCCAATTAAATTAACAACAAAGGATACAATTAGATAGATCAAAGGAAGGTGAATATTAAACATTTCGTTTTTTGACAGTCAGGCAAAATTTGACAGTTTTATAGGCTATACTGCGCTTTGCCTTTGCATTACTGCGTATACTTACATGGCCATACAATAACATACAGCAGTAAGTGTAGTAAGTGATCATAATCACTTGCTTATCATAAATCATAAATCACCCAGACCTTTGCACACAGCGGCAGCAGCTGCTTATAGTTGTCAAAAGTACAGTATATGTTAATTATAACCAAACTATTAAAATGGTATTAGACAAAATTGACAAAAAAAGGGGTTAAAACTGACCAGTTTTTGGTTCCTTGTTGTTTAAGGCAAGTTTCACCAGCATTTTTCCACGTAAAAGTGAAGCCGTTTTGACAGTTTCTTAGAGGTTTTATAGCATACAAAATTGTTTTATAGCATACATATACAGTATGCTATAAAACCTGACTCATGCCACACAAAGGCAAACTGCAGTATCATAGTGAAACCAAGGCAGACTGCTGCAGAACGGGCAGATACTGCATTCTGCCTTGGTTTCACTCTACTTTTCTATACAATACTGCAACAAAAAAATGTACATTTATATAAGAAATGTATTAGGTAGCCATATGAAATTTTAACAGATTGTAGAGCAGATCCTGCACTTTTTATTTGTGCAAAAAATTTTTTTTTGAAAAATTGAAGATACTGCTCTTAGCCTTTGTAGGGCAGAATAGTGATGTAACATGCCTGCAAGCAGCATGGCCCAAAATAAGCCAAAACTCAAAGAAATATTAAGTCAAAACAGAGACATTTTCAAACTGGCGTCCGAGGGCCCCCCGGGGGTCTAAATAAACTTAAGGAAAAAATAAAACCGTTTTACAAATACTTGGACAGTCAAAGTTAATGCATATTAAAGTTTATTTGTATAGAGCTTTTCACATTGTTTCAAAGCAGCTTTACAAAAAAATGCTTGTTTCAATGTTACAATTTAGAAAGTATTCTGTTATCAGTTAGAGATGATTATCAAAATAATGTCCATATAGCAGTAATCAGAGGTGGGTAGTAACGAAGTACATTTACTTCGTTACATTTACTTGAGTATTTTTTTGGAATTTTTTTACTTTTAAGAGTAGATTTAATTGTGGGTACTTTTACTTTAACTCGAGTACATTTCTAATGAAAAAACGGTACTTTTACTTCGTTACGTTGGGCGACGTTCCTCTCGTTACTTTATTTTAATGCAATATGTTGTTAAAAGCGTAGTTTATTCTAAGCGCGCGCTCTCTCTTTTTTTCTGGGCATGAGCGATGCTCAATTCACAAATGAATCACTCTTTTGAGTCGATTCTGTTCAAAGACGTCATCAAACAAGTTGGGCAGATCTGTCTAAATCGGTTCGCGAATCAGTTTGAATGATCTGTTCAGTTTCCTGCACGCACTGAATCGTCTCGGAGTCGTAACAGGAAGATTTAAGAACATCAAGAGCGTTGTATGAAGTGGCGGTCCACAGTCTACAGTACAGTCTAGGGCTGTAGTCAACCAAAGAAATCCTTAGTCGACCAAATCTTGTCCTGCGCAACGATTAGTCGACAAAAAAAAAAAAAAAAAAAAAAGACGCGATGTTTTGATTGAACATTTTTTAACAATAGTCATAGAGCATTTATAAAACAACAACGAAAAAACATCAAAAATACATAAAACTATAATAATAATACAATTCTTTGAAAATTAAGTGATTTTTTTTTAACTGCAAAAAGTGAGGAGCTCTGTCCTAGGTCTATAGTGACAGTCACAATCGCGCACCTGACCACACCACACGCTACAAAAAATATAACTGCTATCTGCCACAATGAAAAATCCTAACAAAAGCTCTCGTTTATACAGGCTGTATATTCTTCTTTACTTTCAAAGCTATGGGTTAACTTTTGTCCAGCCTATCTAGGCGTTTTAAAACAAACACACACAAAAACCCAAAGAGCCTAAAAAACAATCCTAATAATAATAGGCTTTATTGTAGGACCGCATATAGGTTTATTTTCGTTTTGTTACATTATTTTGGCTATTTTCAAATGCGTCAAGTGTACAAATAAAAACAAAAACATATCAAGAAAACACAATCTATTGAGTCAGCATGATAAAGCCGTTAAAGGGACTGCTCACGTCTTTTGCGCGCTCAAGTTCGATTTCAAATGTAGGCGCGCGGTGTGCGCTAATGATGGAAGCAACGGTCGCGGTGCGACACGCTCTTTTTTTTCCAAGTGCGTCCACGCCGCATCGAGATACAAACATATAGTGTATAAAAACATAAAAACCGAAACAAGTAGCGTTCTAACTGAATGAATACAGCTAAACTACCTATATCCCTTACTGAGCACGAAGCAGCAGCGCAGCCAGCCACAGGTGCGAACCGAGTGTTCTATGTGTGTGCGCTAAACTGTGGCGCTGTTACAAAATAGCCTAAATTAAAGCATTTAAAGTTGGGGATAAACCATAGGCTAATTATATTTAGAATACAGTAATATTTAACTGCTTATAAAGGAATAAATATCAAGGAGTAAATCATTGAAAATTTCTTTCTATTGGTAAAAAAAAAAAAAATGCAACTGGTCGACCAATAAGAATGTCAGTCGACCAAGACGGCATCGACCGATTAGTCGACTAAACGACTAAAGTTGACAGCCCTAGTACAGTCTAGAAAGTAAATCTGCAAATGCATCATATTTTTTGCCAGCGATGAAGATCTTTATTAGTTGAACATCTTCGTATGTTACTTCGTAAGCTGTCTGTGAATGAATTATTCCACACAACGATACATTCGATTTCATTTCATTCAGGTAATACATTTTACAACCAAACAGATTATTACGCCATTTAGCACTACTACAACGTATGACATTACCCTTTTTTTGGACATATACATTAATTTATACATTAAATAAGCTATCATCGTCCAGTTTATGAATGTGTGTACACACACAATGTGTGTATTGCGCAGTGGCGTGCGAACTCGACTTGAAAACGAATGCCTTTGCCTGCCTTATTAGACACAGTTAACCAGTTTAAAGATGCTTTCACAAATATAGCCTACATTTAAATACATTTTGGAGAACAGACAGAAGAAGATCCGTGCATTTGATCGTTGTTTGTGTTTGGCATGACATGACTGCGAGCACATGCAGAGTTTTAACTCTTTCTAATCTGTGTCAATGGTTCCCACCCCTTTACATATTAATGCAAAACTCCATAGTCACTTTATTCCGACATTGTCTAATAATCCAAATGTAGTTGTATAAGTTATTATACAAACCAAAGGACAGGCAATGGTTTTCGGGCTATAGATATAATATACAGATATACAGAAATAATGTTTGTCTCTTCTGTTTTTGTTGCAAAGATAGCTTATCTAATTATGATAATTTTAGTCATTAAAATGAAAAAATATCTAAATAATATCATGTTATATATATATATATATATATAGGCCTATGTGATCCAAAGTAACTAGTAACTAACTACTTGCGTAGTTTTTTCATTGGATACTTTTTTACTCTTACTCAAGTAACTTTTAAGATTATTACTTTTACTTTGAGTAAATATTTCTATAAGTACTTGTACTTTTACTTGAGTACAGTTTTTGGATACTCTACCCACCTCTGGCAGTTATACTGTATACAGCTATAATATAGTATGTTATATGGTCAGTTAACTTTGTGAATGGAAAGCTGCTGCCACCAATAACATCATTGAACAGTTTCTGTGAGGATGTGCATTCCTACTAGGACATTTTTATCATTCAATAATAAGCCATGGTTTACAGCAACACTCAGACAACTAAGGCCCCATCCACACTACTGCGTTTTAGTTTAGAAACGGATAATTAAAACGAATATGATCTCCGTCCACACCAGCGTTTTAGCTGCGTATTAGAATTGATCTCCGTCCACATTAAAACGACTGAAAACGCGGATCAAGTGACCATTCACCAACACTGGGCATGCGCGTGCCGTTGTAAACACAACTTCATTGATAAAATTATCCCACCATGCTCTGGGTTAACCCCAAACCGACGCTCCATGTACGGTCAACGCCGCCGCTGCTCACGGGAATTGTCACAGATCGCTCGATTAATAGCTTGACTCTGGCGCATGTAGGCAGTTATAGCGTTGTAAAATGCAGAATTTACTTGTACAACAGCTGCTAGCAAAGATATACGCCATGACTGATGACACCCAATCATAGAGCCGAGCGTGAGCCTCTACTACGTCATCGTTTCTAAAGTCCTCCGTTTTGACCCGTCTACACTAAAACGCCCTCCGGAGATTCAAAACGAAAAACGGATCGGCAGCGTTTCTAAACTTCTCCGTTTTGGGTCTCCGTTTTTGCCGTTTTAGTGTGGACGGGAGGTGCAAACATAGCAAAAGGTCTCCGTTTTTAAACGAAAACGCAGTAGTGTGGACGGGGCCTAAGTTCTTTCTTTGTCATGCCAAAGATGATGCATACAGAAGTGGGGAACAAATCTTGTACAACCAGGCCAGAAACGCACTGACAAAGGAGATCAGAGTGGCTAAAATAAGCTACTATGAAAAGCTGAAAAAACAGTTTTCATCCCAACAATCCGGCATCAGTCTGGACAGGCCACTGCCCCGATCTCTGGAGAATCGACAACTGGCTGAGGATCTAAACGTGTTTTACTGTAGCTTTGAAAAAAGCCCAGTCTCACACCCCTCCCCTGCTCTGATCTGCACTTCACATATACACCAACACCAAAAAATAAAAAAATATTAGTTATAGTTACTTCTCACAAATAGTAACTGAGTTAGTAACTGAGTTACATCATTATAAAAGTAACTAATTACCAGGCAAATTAACTATTGTTACTTTTTAATAAAATGTTCAAATGTCAAATAACTTAAATGTTAAATGAATGAAAATGGACACCAAATAAAATAAATTATTATTATAAAAGTGTACACTAATCTACACTATTTTAATGTTGCTGTGGGACAATAGAGACACCTATTAAATTCAATATATTATTGTAAATATCATTACTATAGTGGAACAATAAAATACAATAGATGTTTAGAACTTTTAATATTTATTGCACAGACCGCAACTGGCCAACAAATAAGTCTAAAAATAAATTATGGTTCTTAAGAAATGTACCAAAAATGAATAAATAATAATAAAAATATATACAAACTCTTTGTGTGTGCAAATTAAACTGATAAAACTTTCACACAACTTCACAACTGGTAGACATACTGTAGCCTACTTGAAGTATTTTCTTCCTCACAAATGTAAACCGTTAGCCTATAATACTGAACAATGTACCAAAAATAAATAATAAAATTATATTTTTGGGTTTTATTTTTATAACCTACAGAGAACATCATCATCAGAGGTTGTTTAAGCCAAATTCTAGGCACTTTTGCCGCACGTGTTCATAACCGGTCAAGTTATTTTGGGGTTTTATTTTTATAACCATGTAAACTACTTAAAACGTTGCAGATGATACCAATAGGCTACAGAGATTATTCGGATGCTGAAATGAGTAATTTATTTATAAACAAACTATATAATGCTCGGACACCCTCTGTCTCTCTCTCGCAATGTCGCTCGCTCTCTCAGACACTCGGTCTCTCTCTCGCGGCGTTTGCCTCACTTTTGTCCAGTCCAGCACCTTAAACACACACCAGACAAAAAACTTTGCGGGTCCTATGGCTGAGAGAGAGAGAGCATACTCTGATGAAAACCGCTTCAGTGAGCTCAATTATAGTTACGCCGCATTTTATTGTCAGTAACGGTAACGGCATTGTAACGGGGGAAACAGTAATTCGTTTGATTACTCGTTACTGAAAAAGATAACGCCGTTAGTAACGCTGTTTATTTATAACGCCGGTATTCCCATCACTGGTGCAGGGTCTTCAAAAAACAGAAGACTAGAAAAGCACCAGGCCCAGACTGTGTTTCACCGGCATGTTTAAAAGTCTGCACTGACAAACTGGCCCCTATCTTCACACAGATCTTCCAACAGATCACTGGAACAGTGTGAAGTTCCCTGCTGCTTCAAACACTCCACTATCATTCCACTCCCCAAAAACCTAAAATCACTGAACATAATGAGTACAAACCTGTCGCACTCACGCCTGTGATCATGAGGTCGTTTGAAGGACTGCTGTTATAGCTTACCTGAAGAACATCACTGGACCTCTGCATCATCTACAGGCCCGTTTTTTCTGTATGCAAACTGCAGTCAACATGGGACAGCATTACATCCTGCAACATCTCGACAGACCTGGGACTTATGCAAGGATCTTAGGCCCTGTTTATACCTGGTATTAAGATGTGTTTCGGTCAAACGAATCAAGTAGACAATGCTAATACAGGTGTAAATGGAGTCTGGAAGTGGTGGAAAATGGACAAGCTCGACTTTTTAAAGGTAGACATTCGACCTGATTGCTTTTGTAGTGTAGACGCTCATGGGATTGAATATGTTTGAACGGCCCTCTGTTAAGCAGAGGTTGTACTACCTTCAGCAGCTGAGGAAGTTCAACCTGCCACTGGAGCTGCTGACACAGTTCTACTCAGCCGTCATTGGGTCTGTTCTATGCACTTCTATAGCGGTCTGGTTTGGTTCAGCTACCAAATCAGACATAAGACTACAAAAGGACAGTCCAGACTGCTGAGAGGATTATTGGTGCTCCCCTGTCCACCCTCCAGGACCTGTACTCTTCCAGAGTGAGAAAGAGAGCAGGTAAAGTCATCACAAACTCTATTCACCCTGGCCACCACCTGTTTGAATTGTTGCTGTCTGGACGGCGATTCAGGTCACTGGGCACTAGAACATCTAGGCGCAGGAACAACTTTCACACACAGGCCATTTCCCTCTTAAACCCCTGGGGTCGGCTATCGCGGCGGCGTGATTGTCTCGCTTTTTTTCTTATTAGTGCAAAAGAGACTCAAATAACTCCGTCAATTTTTGTCATACAGGCAAGTGTTATACATCATTAAAAACTGTTAAATGTCTTTTATTTGTGTACACTAATAATAAAAACAAAATGTTGTGTTTTTCGTAAAATAAAGAAAATAAACATGATGCGCGTTCTGTCGTCTCTCTCAATGTGAAGATCATTCTGAAACACAAAGCTTTTACAAAGCTTGAAGTCTCCATTTTTAAATGTAAATCATATCAAAAACAAATATTCTCTGTTTAAGTAATCCGTATGAAAGCAACGACATGTAGTTTCTCCAGCCCGAGCTCATTAGTTCTAATGTGACCACACCCACACGCGCAAGAACTGTTCACATGCAAATGATCCACGTGAAGGAACGCAGAGCTGTAAACGCCCATTACCTGTTAAATGCCTCCCAAGGCATATGCCTGTAAGTGCAATACCCTGCTTAGTGCAAAATCTTTGTAAACTCGGTTGATATTTATTCAAATTATTCAAAATAATGTAAATAAGTTTATGACAAAACCTAAATGAGTCTTTATACTTATATTTTTATTCTTCAATTTTATTTCAATATTTCTATGTTGTTGTATTTGTATACTGATCTTCTAAGTGTACTAGAAGCTTCAGTACCAAGAACAATTCCTTGAGTGTGCAAGCACACTTGGCAATAAAGATATTTTTGATTATGATCAAAAAGTGATGTGATTAAGTTAAGTTAAGTGATGTGATTAAGATTTTAAATATCCTGCATTAAGACAATTTTTTTTACATTTAAATACTAAATTAAATTAAATAATGCAGGAAAAAGCAGTATCCAAATACAGATGCTTACATACACAAAGGAACTCACCATCCACACCATGATGTAGGAGAAGGCAGCTATCCACAGCGTCGAAAGGAAGAAGGACAGCATGAAGCAGAACTCCCACCGCGGCTTGGCACAGTTGGGCACAGTGAAGTACAGCAACACCAAAATGGGCCAGGAAATGAAAAACTTCACTTTATCCAAAGCGCCACCTACAGTCACATGGTACAGCATGTCACCAATTAAGCCTCCACAAAAAAAAATATTTTTATGTTCATGGCATTCATTTGACCATCCTGTCCTTTTATTTATGATGACTTAGGAGTTCACTGGGCGGGCAGCACAGCTCACAAGAAAAAAAAAAAAAAAAGAGGAAAAAGCCATAATCTCAACACAATAACGAGATCCTGTGTCATGTGATTCTCACAACTGAGCTCACACAAATTAAAACAAGTGCATTGTTCAGTCAATTCAGTGTTCTTATTGTACCAGGTACATTCACAACCAACCAAAAACAAACAAAATATACTGTAAATGTGGCAAATGATATATCACTCATAACTGAAGATTTAAAAAAAACAAAAACAAAAAAAAAACAGCTTAACAATAAATAAAAAATGTAAAAGTAAAAATGTCCAATTCTTTGTTTTTCCATTTCCAGAGTTTACTAATCACCAAAAGGGAAATATTTCAGTTGAATGTATACAGCATGTGTATATATGTAACAATAGTAATACCTTGAAAATACGGTTTAAAAAAAAACATTAATATAGTCTTCAGTGTTACACGATCCTTCTGAAATCATTATAATATGCTTATTTGGTGCTATATTATCAATGTTGAATACAGTTGTTCTGATAAATTTGTGGAAATTAAAAAAAAAAAGATCCTTTGAAGAAAAAAACAGCAATGTAAAATCTTTACTTCCACTTTTACTGATTTATTACATCCTTGCTGACCAAAAACTGTTGGCGTATGTACACGCAAACACAAAGTATATTTTTAATTAAAATGATTATTTTTAATACTTTTTCCATTATTTATTTTTTTTCCAAAATTTAGGTAAAACGTTTCTATAAGGTAGTTTAATTAAGAATGAACAACAGTAGATTTATAAATTAATACCAACAACCTATATTAATAAATGCTATAAAAACAGTTCATTGTTAGTTCATTGTTAATTCATTATACCTAAATGTAAAGTGTTAAAGGGATACTCCACTTTTTTTGGAAATAGGCTTATTTTACAACTCCCCCAGAGTTAAACTGTTGAGTTTTACCGTTTTTGAATCCATTCAGCCGATCTCCGGTTCTGGCGGTACCACTTTTAGCATAGCTTAGCATACATCATTGAAGTGGACAAGACCATTAGCATTTCTAAAAAAAAAAATGACCAAAGAGTTTCAATATTTTTCCTATTTAAAACTTGACTCCTCTGTAGTTACATCGTGCACTAAGACCGACGGAAAATGTAAAGTTGCGATTTTCTAGGTTGATATGGCTAGGAACTATACTCTCATTCCTGCGTAGTAATCAAGAAACTTTACTGCCGTACCATGAGTGTAGCAGGCGTAATGATATGACGCAGCGCCTGAAAATAGTCCCCAGCTCGGTAACTTCCAACGTGACCGGGACTAAGTGCCTGCGCCTGCTGCACTCATGGTACGGCAGTAAAGTTTCTTGATTATTACGCAGGAATGAGAGTATAGTTCCTAGCCATATCAGCCTAGAAAATCGCAACTTTACATTTTCCGTCGGTCTTAGTGCACGATGTAACTACAGAAGAGTCAAGTTTTAAATAGGAAAAATATCGAAACACTTTGGTCATTTTTTTTTGAGAAATGCTAATGGTCTTGTCCACTTCAATGATGTATGCTAAGCTATGCTAAAAGTGGTACCGCCAGAACCGGAGATCGGCTGAATGGATTCAAAAACGGTAAAACTCAACAGTTTACCTCTGGGGGAGTTGTAAAATGAGCCTATTTCCAAAAAAAGTGGAGTATCCCTTTAACATTTTTAAAGAAATGAATTCCATGATTTTTCCAGGCCTGGAAATCCCAATTTTAAAACACCTTGATATTTCAAGATAAAAATAAAAATAATAATAATAAAAAAATCATGGGAACCTTATTAATTTATATCAACTTACAGAATAATAACTATGTGAATTAGGTATACGCATTTCAGATGCCACCACATGCAGTTAAAGATCCAACGTGTTAATGTGTGAAAGTCAAACCGCCTCACCAGGCAAGCTGAAAGGAGATGACATCTCACTCTCCAGCTCCTCAGAGAGTTTGTCCTCCGCTACGTTGCCATTTTCCATGGTGTCAGCTCTCTGGTCAGCCACCAGCACTTCGTCCCCCCCATTGGCCGTCTTCCCCAGCCGCTGCTGCTGCATGTATAACGAGCAAAAACTGAACAAAAAGTTCACTCTTATCCACTTCCTCACAATCTCACTTTTCAATTAAGATACTTTGAAGGAATCGTTATTCCCAGCCAGTATGATGCTATTTTTCTAAAACACATGGGTTAGAAAACAAAACAAAAGTAAATAGCAGATTTTTTTTCCCAATTTCTGGGTGATCTGTCCCTTAAAATGTTATAGTGACAACCTTGTGTCCATAACATTCATCCATTATCAATTTAACACCATTCACAGCCTCATTTCTTTCTGAACTAGCTGACATGTCTCTATCAAATTTCTCAGCAGTCTTTGTAGCAGGGGTTTGAATTTCTAACAATTTTTTGTGGATATTTATAGAAACAGTTTAATCAGCCTCACACCCAGAACTGGACTACCTGATGAGAGATCTCCACAGTGCTGAGTTAACCAACAAAGACGGGTGCATAAGCTATTCAGAACTCTGGGTTATAATCCAGTATCTGGGTTGCCAGAGTTACACTATTATAAATCGGATAGTGCAAACTCGTAATTATGAAAAGATGAGCTGCATTTGAAGCCCTTATAAAATAGCCGAATACATCCATTTTACATCAGACTCATATCGGTTGAATTTAACATGAATCCGTATTCACAACCCATTTAATTCTGTATTGTGACATTTTCCAAGTAAAAGATGATGTTTGAAAAAGCTACAATAAGCAAAATGGACGAATTTAAATGGCACGAATTTAATGTATTGTGTTCCACTCATGCTGTTCTAAACCTGTATGACTATTTTTATGTTTGACAGAAAAAAGAGATTTTGAAGAACTGGTTTTTGTCTATATAATGAAACTCAATGGGGTCCAAAACAACACTTAATTTTTTTTTCCTCCAGAATATCTTCTTTTGTGTTCTTCAGAAAAATTTAATACAGGTTCTAAACATCATGAGGATTTTTTTTGTGAACTATCCTTTTAAAATGGGCTTGAGGACTCAGTTTCCATTACCGTGTTAAAATCACCGTAACCCAAAGACTTTTGAGGATTATTAGCTTATTTTCTCAGAGGTGTTCACTCAGCAGGTGTATTTTCTTACCTCGTTGATGATAAGTCGGCTTGCCATGCGCAGACGTGTCTTGGGTCCAAAGTGGTTGGTGATCATGACCCTGAGGCCGGCCTCGGGAAACCGATAATGTGGAGGGCTTGAATTTATCATCTCGTCCACCATCACAACAGAGCCCCTAGAGTATGTTTTACTGGGCTTTACTGCGGACACGGAAGAAAAAAAACATTTGTAAGTGGACCTACACATGGTACTCATGCCCAAAACACACAGAATGTACCGTATTTGCACACAGACACACACACACACACACACAGAGAGAGACCAAGAGAGCAAAAAATAAATAAATACACACAACAATGGTGCACAGAAACCAGCAGGACCATAAACCCAAACTCTCAAAAGAAAAAAAAAATGATGTCACAGATTTCAAAATTCTAAAGTCCTGTCTGTGAGAGACTGATTCCTGCTGGGATAGACTGTAGGCCCACCTCTGAGCCCCTCAGTATACTGTCAGAAACCATCAACATAGAATAATAACATAAAATGAAATCTCAATCATCCTCCAGATTACAGCTGGACATCACAGGAAGAGCTCTACTGCCAATACACTATCAACAACGACAAACACAATGACCAAAGATATATTTTTTAGCGTTTCTCAAACACTTGTTTCTGCCATTCGTTGGCCAAACAGATAGTCCCATCCCAATCTCATACCACCAAGTCTTCATTGTTGTTAGGGTGTCGCAATATGTCGGTATTGACTACTGTGTGATATTTAACCCTATAAAGCCTACTGCATCATTTGATACACACCAAGGACGATAACTATGAAGATACAGTTCTAAAAATATTTCTCAATATTAAAGAATAGCAGAGTTCACTCCACATTTATAACTATAATGGCACAGAGAAATAATATAAATCAAATCACTTTCAGAACGATTATATCCAGCTGATGGATGATAACAACATTGACAGCAAATCAGAATCCATCCTGCTGTAACAAGCTGGACATATCATCTTACCAAGAGATTATTGAGAGATATAGAGCCACAACTTATATTTATATCCATTTTATGCAAGTAGTCTGCTATACTGTTATAAATATTTCATTTATTTACATTAGGCTACACACATTTAGAATTTCATCTTTTTGGCCATATAAATATCAGGCCAATATATATACATATATGAAAAGTGGTTTCTATTTGACAGAGGTGTTAAAAATAACAGGGCTTGGTGACATCAATCAAAAAGCCAAGTCGTTTTAGAAGCAGAGCAATTATTATATTTCAATCAAAGATTATAAAGACAAAGTTTTTTTCTTTGGAATTACATGCTCTGATAAATTCTGCACAATAAGACCAGGAACATCCTCAATTCTGATTTAATGTTGACGGTACCATATCTATATTTCACTATATTGCCTTTGACCTTAGAAGATAAAAAAAAACCTCACATGAACACAAATCTTATTATAGGCACAGTGATAGATACCATTTTGTAAAAAGAATGGAAGGATGTATCACTGGTACTGGGAATAAGAGACAGACACACACAGCAAGATGAGACAAGAGCCAGGGCAGATTTAGTAAGGCTAAACAGACAGGCTTCAGCAGGGGGGTGACAGACCGCCACGCAGCACAACAGTTAGAGCTGCACTACAGGACACTGTGCTCTGAAACAGAAAGCGCACCATGGTTATTCAGCAAGGAAGCAAAGTGTCAGCCTCTCATAAGAGACGTCAGATGGCTACGCATTTATTAAGTGCTGTTGGCATAGGTTTTACAAACAGAAGACATACAGATAGTAGAGTGGAATTAATTTAAAGAGAACAAGATCCGACTTTGTTGCAAGCAGGAGAGGATTAGTCGCTATCCCATGAGGAAGCCTGTCTAGTTACCCTTACCTGGGCTGAGTAGCGGCCATGATGCATCATCCCAAAACTGCCCATAACATTCATTACCATCCTCCATCTCGCTGCTGACCGCGTTACCATTGACGACACCCTTGCCATCCTTGCCCGCAAAGGAGTTTTGAATGCTAGTGTTAAACCTAAAAAAAAAACACACACACAGAAACTGATTTAAACAAAACAATCTAAACTCCAAAGGTGTGGAAACAGTAAAATTTCCCAGTCTATTATCTATTGACCAACTTGAACCATTGCAAAATCTGCATGAGGAAATCGTTCGCCCTCACACGGAATTACCAATCACGAGGATTCTTGTTGAAACAATTGGATTTCACCCTCACACACACAAAAAAAACCCCACAGAACAATGTGACCGCACCTTAAGTCAGCATACCAATACCATTAAGGATTCAATACCTTAAATTTAAATACCACAAAGTACTTCGATAACACACTCCCCTTTAGTTAATTAAACAGTTAAAAATGAATGCGTAAATTATAAATAATAAAAAAATATTTGAAGGCAAAATGTTTTTAATTAAAATAAAGAATCTGATGTTTAAATGAGTATACAAAAAGGAGGACTCACTTCATGATGACGATGTAGCCAACATACATGAGAATCAGTACCAGACTCTCCCACCTGCAGAGAGAGAGAGGAGGAAGCCAATCAGATCTCTGCCATCAACCGGTCAAGATAAGGTATACTCAAACAGAGGATCACTTACCACAAAATCTTGTCATCGTAAATAAACTGAAAGAAATATACAGTCTGTAAGTAATCATGGAGTGGCAGCAGAATTTCATTGCACATGGTTCTATTCATTATGTCTTTGTTTCCTGCATTTTCTTCACAGATGAATAATAGTCTAAAAACTATATAAATATTAGGGCTGTAATCAACCAAAGAAAATCTTGGTCGAATGAAATCCTGAAATTTCAACTAGAAATCGACTAAATGGGGGGGGGGAGACGGAAAAAAAAACGTTAGATTAATTAGCTGCGCAGTACTTGGTAGCCTTGTCCGCCTAAATTAATTATAAATAAACAAAAACTAGTAGGCTATTTGCAGTATATTAAATTAATATTATTTTGCACTGAAATGACACACTCGAGTCTGTCGGCTCTGACAGCGTTGCATCACGTGCCACTGGGCAATATTATAGCTAGCCTATGATTTTCGAAAATAGTACTGTCAACTAGTGATATCAGCACAAGAACTGTTGAGGAATATGCAACATCATTTAGACAATTGTTTTTGTCATGTTATAATAACTGACAGACACTATCATTTCAGCCGCTCTGTGCATGTCCTCACACAGAGCAAGGCTGAACATAGGAGCTCAGCTTCGCGGCTGACACACAAATAGACTATTAACTTAAACACAAAAGTCACGTTAACTTTAATAATAATAAAAAAATAATTATTAAACAAACCAGATCAAGATGAGAGCAGAAACGAAATAAAGTGCATAACTGAAAAATAAAGCATAGGCTCAAAACAAATACAAACAGTGGGCACAGCGCAATTGCTCATTAGGTTTAGGCATTGGGTTGGGCTAATCCAAAAAAAGTGAAAACAAGGGGGGTGTTCTGAAGACAGACTGTTACCTGTGAAACAAGCAATTAGTGCTTTCCACCTGATGAAATTAACACAGAAAAATCGACCAATCAGAATTTTGGTCGAGCCAGAACGTATCGACCAATAAATCAACTAGTCGACTGGGAGAATACAGCCCTAATAAATATAACTTAAATATTTACTAAATAACTAAAAAAATAATAGTCAAAGATTAGATCCAAAACAACATTATGGATAACATAGCCCCAAAATGAACATTAAAATAAATCAAGTAAACAAAGATACATGTTTTTGTCTATATATATATATATTCATATTGATTACATAATATATTATATATATATATATATATATATATATATATATATAAAATATTATGTAATCAATATTAATAAATATATATTTGAAGCTTATTACACACTATTACTATATATAAAGATATACAAGTTGTTCAAAATGCTTTATAGCTGTTGGAATCTTTTGCTGATTTCCAATTAGCAAAAGCATTGTTTACCCAAAATTTTTAATTCTGTCATTAATTACTCACCTTCATGTCATTTCAAACCTGTAAGACTTTCGTTCATCTTCAGAACAGAAATGAAGATCTTTTTGATGAAATCTGAGAGCTTTTCTATTCTATCCCTTTTTTGACAGCTACGCAACTACCACTTTGACACTTCAAAAAGTTCATAAAGAGATTGTATAACTTTGTTATCATACAACAGAACCTGCTTGATGTGCAAGAACAATTCAACCTCATTGGTTCTTGCGGAAGCTCAAACGTGCTGCGTAACACACAAGAATAAAGTTGCGAGTTGATTAATGTTTATATGTGAATAAAAGCCTAAATTCAATCGGTTCATCATATAAAGCAATCGTGTTTCTTCAGAAAGTTTGGACTAAACCACTCAATTCATATGGATTAGTTTAACAATCTCATTATGAACTTTTTAGCATCAAAGTGGTAGTTGCGTAGCTGTAAATGGAGGGCAGAAAGGTCTCCGATTTCATCAAAGTTCTTCATTTGTGTTCCGAAGATGAACGAAAGTCTTACGGGTTTGGAACGACACGAGGGCGAGTGATTTATGACAGAATTTACATTTTTGGGTGAACTAACCCTTTAACAGCATCTTCGATAGGTGTTCTGAGTGGTTACTGGCCCATATAAAAACACTCTAGCAAATGGCTGCAAGCATCACTTCCAGTTTCTTCATAAAGGCTTCTAAGCCATTGTTTTACAACCTCAGAGCTCATAGTATATTTGTCCTGAAAGTTTCATGCGTTATTGCTAATTATCAGTTTCTCTGTTGAGAAAGTTAATGGGATTTTTACTTCCAGAACCTACTCTATTGCACCATTGAATTGCCAGAACTCATTAAATTGACACTTACTGCAATAAGGGCAACCACAGAAAAAATGTAGTAGGTCGAGTCTCTGAATACAGCATACTTTGTGAGATAAACAACCTAATTGGAAAAGAGAAGAGCTTTCTAAACAGAAGTCAACAAAAGCAACCATTCTTTTTTTTGTTAAGTGTCAGGTCTACTGTACCTTCAAGTTTGCCACATGCAACAACAAAACGTTTATGCCCGGTTTCACAGACCAGGCTTAAGCCTAGTCCCAGACTAAAATGCATGTTTGAGCTGTCTTAACTGAAAGCAACTTACACTGACATATCTTAAAATATGTAAGTGGCATTGTTTTGTAGGGCTGCAACGATTAGTCGACGTTGTCGACAACGTCGACAATAAAAATTTGTCGACAAATATCTTTGTTGTCGAGTAGTCGTTTGATCTCACGTGACCTAATGTAAGGGCCTGCAATCCCGCGATTTGAACGCTACGGCGCTGTAGCGCTAGAGTGTAGTGCAGCCCTTACAAATGCTATTGCGGTAGAAGAGAAAACAGCACGAATTATGACAGTGCAAACGAATCCGAACTAGCAAGGTTTAGGTTTGGGAATGTTTCACAAAACTTCAAATCAAGAATGCTGTCGTGTGCAATGTTGGGGTGCAAGAGGAAACATCCCGGCAAAAGAGGAGCCGGTGAGAAGTGAGTGTTCTCCAGCTGGAGCTAACTAACCACCAGCGGCAAATCTCTCTTTATTAGAGAATGCAATACTACTAATAATAGTAATAATATTATCAATAGTAATATAATTACAGTAATTATAATTACAGTAATTACTATACTTATTTTGTATAGAATAAAGCTTGATCGAGCTTAGGAGTCAGGGCTGTTTTTATTATTGTAACACTATTAGTATATTAGGTATTATTATAGTCTTATCACTTGCCTGTATTTTGTTCAATAATCATGAAGACTTACAAAACGAGATGTTATATCCTTCCTATGATATAGGAAGAATATCACGGCAGTCACTTTATCATACTATAAATTAAAAGGGAATGAGAACGTCTCTGTCAGCTCAATTGTCATGTAAAAAAAGATTGTAATTTTATAATTATAATAATTGTTTGCAGATTAATATTTTACCATTCTTTGTGTCCTGAAGTAAATGTCCCTTTTTCTGTTTCAGTTCTAAGAAAAGCAGTGGGCCTATTAAACAATGCTTAGAGAGCATTTGTGTGTGATTTGAGTTGGACCGAAATCTGAAAACTTAAAGAGAATGACCTGTTTAGTTGGCTCAAAGTTCATTAAAACAACTATTTCAAAAGCTGAAGTGATTTTCTTTTTTTATATTATAGTTAGAATATGTATTACTCAATGTTTTAACTAATTGGAAAAGCTGAATAATCGTTCCAAACTTACTGATTAGTCTGCGAAATAATCGACGATTAGTCGATTAATCGTTCTAATAATCGTTAGATTAATCGATTATCAAAATAATCGTTTGTTGCAGCCCTATTGTTTTGTCTCAAGATGCACACCATGTTTTACGTTTATAAAAGCTACTTAAATGTCGTAATTTAACTAAGGCCTAGTCCTTGGCTTAGTCTAAGCCATGTCTGTGAAACCAGCAGGGGCCGATTGCAAAAACTGCTAAGACTCGTCTTACAAGTTATGCCTAGTTCACACAACATGATTTTAAGCCAGTTAACGAGCTTGCCGACAGGTCGGGCTGTAATCGCGTGCAAATCTGCAGGTGATCCGCGCTCGCCAATTATTATGTGTGAAATACTAAACGCATCAAAAACGCTCGGCGACGCCAGACAAATATCTAGCAAGCTAAATATCTGGAGCTGTCGGCCGACTTGATAGCCTTTGGTGTCACGTGTCGCAACGAGCAACAGCCAATGAACAGCTTATCACATTACACAAGCTTTTTGTATTTGTAACTATCGTTGCCAAACAACAACAGCAGCTGCTTTTTCATTATAAACATGTTTTACTCACCTCCAACTCTGTAACAGACAATCCCTGCTGCCCGCGTGTGCTTATCCATCCTTTCAAACATTTTTTTTTCTTTTTTTTTTTTTCGGGGTTCTAAACAGAAACTTCCATTAGAAAAGTTCTAAACTTCCATTTTAAAAAAAATGTTTTTTTTTTGCACTGCCAATTTTGTCCCGGCATCCATTTTCCTATTTCGCGTCATTTTCCATTCCACTTCTCGCGTGTGTTTTCGTGACAAAACGTGGTTTAGGGAGAGTCGAGAGTCGATAGCGTTGTTGGGTGATCGTTGTCAGCTCGTGTAGTGTGTAACCCCCTGTTGCAGATCATTTACGTAGTGTCACGTAGTGTGAACACCACAACGACTTCAAGACTCCAGAGCAAGTCATGTAGTCTAAACAGCACAGCGATCTGCCGCCGTTTAAAGTTGTGTAGTGTGAACTAGGCATTAGTCATCAAATGTTTTCCTTTAAGACTGTTCATTACTTTAAGTCAGTTACATAAAAACATATATAGATCTAATTTGACAAAAGTAAGACTGATTACCCCTAACTAACTGCTCGTTGGTCATACTAGTTCTTAAGACAGTCTTAACATAATAGCTGTGTTTATGCAACTGGCCCCAAGCCTTAATTTCTCAAAAGAAAAGAAAAACATCACAGCAATGTACTTTAAAAAGGTCTTTCTTAGACCTCACTAGTAACCATAGTATTTGTCTGCAAATCCTGTATTTTTTGTGGTCGAACTCCTACATTGATTTATTTTTAAACATTCGCTTTCAAAAATTCCACTCTTTGAAATGAGAATGAGAGAGAGAAAACAACAGTAAATCTGGAGAGTAATTTTCACATTGCAATGCTCAGATGAAAACATGAAAAGGTCAAGAGTTGCAGCAGCTCTGAAGGGGAGAAGCTGTAATATAGAGCTCAGAAAAACAGCTCACCTGCCCCGCAAAAATCCCACACACGCCGATGATGCACAGGATGTTGAACACAGCTGAGCCCACTATGGTACCCACCCCCACATCTCCATGTGTAATGAACACACCTGCAGAAAACAAGAGGGTTCTAATCCACAGTAACTGTTGTCACATGACTAATGCATATACAAGCACCTGTACGTGTGGCTCACCAATTATAGAGGCAAACAGTTCTGGGGCGGAGCTTCCAGCTGCCATGAAGGTCGCTCCTGCTACATCTTCACTCAGGTGCAGTTTCTAATGGATGGGAGGAACATACAAATTCAAGCAGAGGATGTGCGAAGGCCATAATTAAAAGGTCTAAATAGACCCCAGAGATGTGCAAAACTGTCAGTGGGTTGTACAAACAATTCCTTTAAGAGCTGCTAGTCATTCAATCTAAAAGGAGATTTTTACATTATTTGATTAATAGAAAGTTCAAAAGAACTATGATCTTACTGAGCCCAAACTTTTGAACAGTAGTGTATATGACTCACTTGTAGTTTTTTGTCCCTTAATGAAGCGCAACATTTACAGTAGTCGTGTCATTGCATTGAAAAGATGTCCATAAAAATTCTTCAAAAATTACACTGTTCTACCACAAAAATAACAGGTTTCAAACTACATGAAGGGAGTAAATAAATGGCACACATTTATTTATTTAGTAAACTATTCCTTTAAGGAACACTGTATAATTAGGGCCATGTCACTGATCAGACATATTTCTGAGGGATATTTTGACACTAAATGCAGAGTAATTGACATTAAAATCGGTTATTAAAGATTAGCTATTTTGCTGTTTTATTTGTTGAGAGGATTACGCATGAGAAGTTGTACAGTAATTTGTCTTGAAATTTATTGTCAAAGACGGTGATTTTATTTTTTTACAAAGGGATGGCTAAAGCACAGCACGCAGTCAACATGCAAAAAAAAAACACAAACCAACCATCCTGACTTATACCTAATAGAGTTGCATATTAGTATAACCTGAACTAGCATTCGGCATTAAAGGATGGTGTGGGGAATTCTGGGTTTAGAAGAACAGGAGCTCATTGTTACCACTGTACATTTATTCTTACCTCACAGATCTTCTCTAAAGAGGTCACAAAGTAGTCGTCACAGACAATAGCAAGGGCCAGAAACATATATAAAGCCTGAAATGGAAAGCAGAAACCACAATAAACCCATTAAAGAAAGACAAGAATGAGATGCACCATAATGGGGTTGATGTGCAGAAATAATTTAAACGGTGTCTAAGTGATCTTCTGTTCTATAAGCAGTTGTTGACAGGGTGGCCTCAGTGCTGTGAACTCATATTGGCAAACTCATGACCAGCCACAAATGACGAAAAAAGCTGACAAACCATTTATAATTGTCATAAAATTGTCAGACATGCACCATTTATCCTAGATGACAAGGTCAACTGGTGAGCAAGGCTAGATGTTGATTGACGTCCACACACAAAGTTTGCCTACCGCAAATATGTGTAGCAGAACAGCTCCTTGTGTACGCTGTCTGTTGGTGAATACATCCACGGGGAACTCGAGGATGGCTGCATTGGAAATGAGAAAGAAAAAGTCACTTTGGCGCAAGTTGTCACTTTCCATGAAATGATGGTACAGTCCAAAGAACGATTGGAAAGTGTGGGCAACAGAATATAAATTAGGCCTACAGGGACATACTAAATCATAATGCAAGAAAAATACATTGTATGTAGTACACATGGTCACCAGTGCATGGGACTGCATTTATTATTTCACACTGACACAACACAGCCATGGGTAAAGTTCAATTTAGAAATAGGAAAGAAAATTACTGATACATGATAGCTTGTAAGCAGTATATAGTGAGCTCAGAGAGACTATTCAGTGATGCATCCAGTATTGAGCTTTGCTAGCGGGATGCCTCGCTTGCTACACCTAGTACTCTAGGATCTGGGTGGGTTGAATATGGATTTCCCCACCCAGTATACCAGACTCTGGAAAAATATAGTTGTATTGTAGTAAAAAATGTAAAAAAAAAAATATATATTTTTTTAAAAAATTTGTCTATGACACATGGGGTCACTTCCCCTATGAAACATCCATTTGCACTGAAATTTCTCTGATCCTTTGTTTTCGTTTGAATTTTGAATAGTAAATCGCACATTTATTTATAACATATTATACAGTTAAGAAACATCACACCAGAGTGCTGTTTTCCGGAATACCAACACGATTGAAACCGAGAGAATGATTTCATAACAGTTCAAAAAACAGAACAAAAACAGTCATTGCGTCTAAAATGTAAGTGACTTAATTTTAACTGTTTCAGCAGCGAAAATAGTTTCAAACAAAGATCACAGCAGAACCATAGCGCAACTCACAGGAACACTCAGCCATGTTTCATTACTGACTGATTCAGCGTTTTGAACGAATCGGTTAAGTCAAAGATTAAACTACCCATTCATAAACTGCCTCATTCTGAATAAGTCGTTTGAACGAATCGTTTGAATGAATGACTCAATGACTCGCTCATTAAGGGCCCTTTCACACCTACCTTGTTTGGTCCGGTCTTTCGCACTTTTTAGTTTGGTCCGAATCAAAATTACAGGTGTGAAACCTCCCCCGGACCACGGTCCGAACGAAACAGATGAAATTTGGTCCGACGAAAAGAGGTAGTCTTGGTCCGGATCAAACTGAACAAAGGTTTGGTTCGTTTCTAGTGTGAAAGCATTTCTGTATGGTTCGGACTTTCAGACCTTTTACAGGAAGTTCCGGTGGTTCCCGCATAGCCGAAAAAACAGAAGGTGGCAGGCAAAATGAGCCATGTAGCACAGGGGGAGAGGAGGAGACGAGGTTTTTACTTGAAGTATGGTCTGATTACATAAGAAGTCAACTGGAAATCCAAATATTTTCGGAGAGGACGGGAGAGCAATGCCACCTGAAGATAAAGAAACTACGACAGCAATATACAAAGGCGCGCAATGCCATGAGAAAGTTCGTGCTGCAGGTAATTATGCCATAAAAATAACAATATAGTTGCAACAATATGCGTCTGTTCATGTTGTTAAAGTTACCCACCGAATTGACAACACGCTGACGTCAGATGCACGTCCATTTACAAACCAATCAATGTCAAGATGCAGCCCACACAGATGATGACGACAGGACACAAGTATGTCACGTTAAGTTCTTTAGTGCGCTCGCATAATTGCAGTGTGAAACCAAACCAAAACTTTCTGAAAGTATAAAATGTATCAAAACGTGAACTTTGGTTCGGACCTTGGTGCGGACTTTCAGGTGTGAAAACGCCCTAAAACGGTCACCTGCCGCCACCTACTGGCGGTTTAGTTTCAAAGTATCATTCTTTTCAACATTCTTTATTTGTATATTCAAAAAAATATTTAAAACACTCATAATCTCATTTAATACAGTTGTAATTTTTCAAATGTAAATTTAATTTGATTGGTAACAGCCTAGTGTCTTATTCTAATTGAATGTATTGATCAAATTTAAGAATTTGAAATGAAAGATGGAGCATACATTTAATAAAATTAAAATGGAATGCATAGCTGATATAAAAATTGGGATGACTAGTAATTTCCTATTACTTAATTCTGAAAAAAACAGAGTTTCTAATGATTGGACCAAAAACCTCCACACGTACTAACCTAGAATACTGTCTAACAATTGATGGCTGCTCTGTCAAATCTTCGTCGTCGGTTAGGAACCTGGGTGTGGTCTGATACGAATCTTTCATTTGAAAGCCACATTTCTATCATCTATAAAACCGCATTCTTCCATCTTAAAAATATATATAAATTACATCATATGCTTTCAATGAAAAATGCGGTTAGTTCATGCGTTCATGACCTCAAGGCTAGATTATTGAAATGCTCTTATGGGTGGTTGCCCAGCATGCATAAACAACAAACTACAGCTGGTCCAAAACACAGCAGCTAGAGTTCTTACTAGAACCAGGAAGTAGGACCATATTAGCCCGGCAAAAAGTTTGTTTAATTTCATATGATTAAAAGAAATTTAATGTTTAAAATTTGATTACCAGAGAAAAAACACAACACCGAATTTGTGTGATTTCATGATTTCAATTAGACATGCTTTTTGATTACTAAAAAGTTTGTCAACTTTAGTCGTTTAGTCGACTAATCGGTCGATGCCATCTTGGTCGACTGACATTCTCATTGGTCGACCAGTTGCATTTTTTTTTTTTTACTAATAGAAAGAAATTATTGATTTACTCCTTGATATTTATTACTTTATAAGCAGTTATATATTACTGTATTCTAAATATAATTAGCCTATGTTTTATCCATGGTTTTATCCCCACTTTAAATGCTGTAATTTAGGCTATTTTGTAACAGCGCCACAGTTTAGCGCACCACGTAGAACACTCGGGAACCGCACCTGTGGCTGGGTGCACTGCTGCTGCGGCGCGGCGCGGACGCGCTTGGAAAAAACGAGTGCGTCGCACCGCGACTGCATCGCTTCCATTATGAGCGCGCATATCGCGCGCCTACATTTGAAATAACAAACTTGAGCGCGCAAAAGACGCGATATGTGAGCAGGCTCTTTAACGGCTTTCTTATGCTGACTCAATAGATTGTGTTTTCTTATGTTTTTGTTTTTATTTGTACACTTGATGCGTTTGAAAATAGCCTAAATAATGTAACAAAACTAAAATAAACCTATATGCCTTCCTACTATACAGCCTATTATTATTAGGATTGTTTTTTAGGCTATTTGGGTTTGTGTGTTTGTTTTAAAACGCCTAGATCGGCTGGACAAAAGTTAACCCATAGCTTTGAAAGTAAAGAAGAATATACAGCCTGTATAAACGAGAGCTTTTGTTAGGATTTTTCATTATTTGGCAGTTATATTTTTTTGTAGTGTGTGGTGTGGTCAGGTGCGCGATTGTGACTGTCACTATAGACCTAGGACAGAGCTCCTTAATTTTGCAGTTAAAAAAAAATCACTTAATTTTCAAAGAATTGTATTATTATTATAGTTTTATGTATTATTGATGTTTTTTCATTGTTGCTTTATACATGCTCTATGACAATTGTTTAATAAATGTTCAATCAAAATGCAAAACATCGCGTCTTTTTTTTCTTTTTTTTTGTCGACTGATCGTTGCGCAGGACATGACTTTGGTCGACTAAGGATTTCTTTGGTTGACTACAGCCCTAGTTTATGGTGTAAAACAGGTCTGGCAGAGAGTTTTATTACTCCGCTTCTGAAGGCTATGACAACACCACGTATCAAAGATTTTTTTTAAAGGTTTAAAGGGGGGCACAACCAAAAAAGTTTGAGAACCACTGCACTAGTCTAACAATAAAACAAGGTTAAAGTCTTATGGCTATACTTTTGAAACCATAAATGTTTATTGCCTGGATCTGTGTACTTACATTGTGAGTGCCTCACTGTAACCATGATTTTTATGTTTGACAATAAGAAAGGGAGTCCAAAATCTTGAGTCCAAAATCATTTTCTGTGATAATCAACATTTTGCCACAAATGCAGTAGACAGAGCTAAAATCCATATTGAACATAGGACATTCCTTTAAATCTGGTTTATATGCCTCCAAGGCCTGTTAGAGCAAAATCACTTAACATCAAAACCTCACAAACACATGGCTGGGTAGGTCACACGTCAGTACATTCTGTCATAGCAGCCCTGTTTGTGACCCGGGCAGCCCTGTAGGTCAAATAATTCCCAATGGCACAAGATGCTCCCTGTCAGGGCTACACTACCAAAAAAAAAAACCTCACATATGAGGGACAGATGCCTGTACAGGCATCTGTCCCTCTAAAGCAAATTAAATCTCTTCAGTACTTTTGGTCTACTGATGGGGACAACCATAACGCAAGTTGCCACGATGATGCTACGGTGTTGTGAGTGATTGCTGGATATTGCCAAGTAGCTGTGTGTCGGAGGCGTTTAGCGCGGCAGACGTGAATTGACACAGATAATGCATCTGTCTTTTCTATCATTTCACTGTAGCTCAGCAACGCGATGTAACGTTAACGTTGTTACTTTAACAGCAGTAGAACTGTTTCTACTGTGATAGTTTAGGGTAGGCTACTTCTATCAGTCTGCTGAACCATGGATTGATTGCAAAGTTAAACCAAGTAAAGCGCTGTAATGTGAACTGTCAGTGCGATAGAACAATACAATCCGAAATGGACTACCCAATGGAAAGCTGCGGATTTTCCCACAGGAAAGCAGAAAAAGACTGTTTTCCTAGTATGATGCAAAGGCCTACACTATAGCCTATTTATGTTTAAGTTGACACTACGTTGTGCCATTTAACTTTGCCATTCATAAATAAGTGTCTTGACATGTCAAGCCGAGTGGCACTATCCATGGTATTGGGAGGGGGATTTAATTCTTGGGTGTTATTTCGTTGTGCGTGATCACAGTTCATATATAAGAGTATTGCGTTAGGCTACTTCATGAGTTAATAAGAAAAAAGATTTTACAATTCCTGCAAATGCAGTGATGAAGTTCATGTTCTCATGATTTATTTTTATGAATAAAACTTTTAAAACA